GTGGGCTTTCATCACACTTCATCTGAAACAGCGTCCTTGCATTCTTTTTGCCGCGGTGTCCAATTGTGTTATATTATCACCTGAAAATGTTTTTATTACCCTTTCACCGCAAAAGTACTGAATTTCCTCTTAATAACGTCTCAATATCTCGGTTACGTCTTCAAAGATGAATTCCTTGAGCCGGATATTCTTGGTTTTCACTTGACGTCACTAAAATTCAAACTACAAAACTATCGATCCTACTGAGATTTTGCTTTCATGATGTATTAGAGCAGCTGAAAAGTAATGTTCATATAAATTTTCGCTTCAAAAAGTTCTTGGTTTTTATGTTAGGGTACGCTTGAATTTCTAAGCTTTTGCGTGACGCGGCATGTAGGTTAAAAAAGTGAGTTATTTCGGGGAACTTTGCTATTTAAACGGTTAATGTATTAGAAAAAGTATTACTTTATGAGTTCCTCGAGGGATAAATTCACGCTTTTGTAGCAAAACTCAGTAACAGATCTTTCTGTTGGTTTCCGTCCCCCATGTTGGTACCCATCCTGGTGGGCACCAGCATGGCGTCTCCTTACAAATCTCTATAAACTTGGTTAAAACACTTCTTCGGATATCTCGTACACGAAATATTCCTATGACCCGAATCTTGGCGAGGGTCTTTGTATATTTACCTCCTTTCATTTCCCAGATTCTGAACTTAATCTGTTGAACGGTTTTGATTTTTGATTTGATCTATTTAGTATTGCGTGACACTGAAAACCAGCAATAAATTATGCCTTCACATTATATGTTAAATGGTAAATGCTTTATCTACAGTGGTAAAGCACAATCCAATAAGAACACATCACAACATGATAAAAAAATCTCCTACTAGCAGGAAACAATCTCTTTGGGTATTTACAAACGCCAGCGGCTAAGAGCGGACAACTAGTGGGCTAACCTGGTCCCCAGGACTCTTCTCCCTTTTTCCAAGGGAAGGACTGGGAACATGATTAAGTGGTGGTATTCGAGGAGCGTGAGGCACACCCAGGACCGCGGGATTGGAGTTCGACACGCTAACCATTCGTCAATACTATCCCGCCTCCCCGCCCCCCAAACAGTCCATATAGGTCGAATAGTGTACTAAGGGTATGATTTTAAAACTATTTTCATTCCCAACGTTAACACTAGTACTAATTAATTAATAATAATTAATTAATTAGTACTAATTATTTCAATTATCTTCAGGTGCCCCTCCCGCACCTCTCCCACCCTCCTATTCTCTGGCACCCACCCTCCTGTCCTCCAGTTGGCATATTCACATCGAATCTAGGATCTGTCACCAATTTCTTAGAACAAAAGAACGTCTTGCGTTAGAAACGAGTTCAATCCCGACACGATTTCTTTGTTTGTTGTTTGGCCAACGTGTTCATTGTTTTGTACTGCAATATGGCCGCCGTGACGTCATGTGAAAACGATCTTTTGAGCAAGGTCTCGGTCTGCTTATGCTTCTGAAATTTGGATTTCTTTTTTTAAGGTAAAATATCAAGGGATGTGATAAACGACCATAAATTTTTGCGGTCCAGCCGGTCATCAGCGTCGCGTAGCTGACCCAATACAGAAGAGACTGACAACTAACATTAAGGTATTTTATTTCTTTTATTTCCCCCCAGACTTAAATATTTTGCGCAGTCGTTCTCTTTTGTTTCATAACCCATGCAATATTAAATAATTAGTACATAAATTACAAATTTTACATATGCAACAAACATTTATATTATAATTATAAAATATCATTCATAGGCTGTGCAAAAAATTCAGGTACTGTGCTATTTACAGATTCACTTTTTACTTGCTATATACACGGGTGGACGAGCACGCGGTGCTCTCATTGTCGAATCTAGTTATCGTATTTCCTCGAATGAGCGACAACGCTGTAATAAGCGCTCTCCTCTACTTTCCTTAATGTCTTGGATAGTGAGGACGTCACATTGAAAGCCTCCTTTTCCCCACTTTTATTGACTATTAACCTCGTTCCCAGGGTTCTCTCCTATCTCGCCCCGGAGAGAACCCTGGATGCAAGTGAGTTTGACTATGTCAACGCAGAAATGCGTTTTTCTCCCTGAATTCAGTTTCAGACCATTTTGTTTGTTATCTCTGTATATTGCCAGTGTTTATTTATGTCGGTTGTCCGTTGTTTTAATCTTCTCCCTCTTTTTGTTTGCCTCCTATAAGGGAAACATTTAATAAACTTCCTCCCTTAGATTTAAGCTCCCCCAGTTCCCTTTTGATCCAAATTTTGAATTAGCGCCTGTCCGGTTACTCGAGGAAATACTTCATCAACTATTTATATTTTTTACAAAAAGAGGAAATTCCTACTTCTACTAACCCTACTTCACCTGCAAATAAAACTTAAAGAATTTATCATTCCGTCAAACAAGACTAAACTTTACGGAAAGAGTATGAATTATTCCCTTTCTATCTCCTTTAAATTTCTTTGGCAAGCAAATACTCTTTGCAGCCAGTTATATTATTTTAGTCTCTTTTGACACCTTATCATCATTGTTTTCGAGGAAACTTGCACCAAGGTTTATGCGGTAAGAAATTTGACAACATAGTTTTTTTACCGCCCACGATCATTGAGATCATGCATAATCATTGAGAGTTCAAAGGTCACATTCCAAGTAGAGTATGGTACACAACATGAATTTTACCCCGGTTTTGCGCGTTCCAGTACATGTACAAGTGTAGGAAGGTAATCCACCATGGGTAGAACGTGACAGTTTGTTACTAGACGCATCATTTGAATAGCATGTAGCTATCACTTTTTTCCCCTGAAAAATAATGAAATTAAACAAATGTTAAAAAAAGAAAAACTGTGATCAGGCTCCTATACATTTGTCTTGGACGTTTTGATCGTTATTTCTTAAAAGATCAATTCGTAAACCATCCGAGTGACTACAAATCAGTTTTTGACCAACACTTAAAAAAACATAATCTGCATACGCTCCAAGATCCTCACTCACTTGAAAAATTTAAAATTGGATCAACTCTGTCAAAATTTATTTTCCGGGTATTTTTTTCCCTGTTTTACGATTTTTTTGCCTCTCGAGGCCTGAGTATCTCTCGGAAAAAGTAAAAAAAGGCTTAATGAAAGCTTAGAAGAAGCAGATGGAATAATTAGCTTCGTCTGCAAACACGTTTTACGCCTTTCAGTCGCCATGGTTAACGAAACTTTTACCATCGTTACGTTACGTTCTGTCATGTTACGTTACGTCATGTCAGCTTACGAATTTTGCTGACGGTCGCGGTTGTATGACTTTGCGAGAGCGTAATGAGTTGATTATGTAGTAGGGAATTGAGGAAACCCGTGTTTCTCAGCTGCTATGTTCGGGCTTCTTAATACGAATTAATTAATTTATAGACCATACTTACTACTGCTTCAATGATCGACACGTCATTGTGTGCCGAGGTCCCTGCTTGTACCTGAGCTGAATCCATTTTGGCTTTGAAAACACAAGAGCTAAAGTTTCCAGCTCCCCCTGGACCTGGGGGCCCTGGAGAACCGTCAAGCCCTCTGGTACCATTTTTTCCTGGCGGTCCCATGAGGCCCTCTGCTCCTTGAGGACCCTGCGGTCCGGGTGCACCTTGTTTTCCGTCACTACCATTAAAGCCCCGAGGGCCGTCTGCTCCCTGTGGACCCGGTGGCCCGGGTGGTCCGCGTGCACCAGGTTTTCCAGGTACACCTTTACTGCCATTGAAGCCCCGAGGGCCCTTTGGCCCCGTAGAGCCTTTCATTCCTGGTGGCCCTGCCATTTTGCTGACGTTTTCCTGTAAAATGAAGCAACAGATTGTAAACAATAAATCAAAGCTATTTATGTACAGCTGATTCAACAGAGTCTTCTTTCGGCATTGGTAATTGGGCACTGGGAATCTATTTTTTTTGTGGTCACTCAAACACATTATTGCGTTGTTCTGTATGCCTGAATGCCCTATGCCCGATCGCCAATGACCAATTGCCAAAGCAACCTTTATCGAATTAGGCATATACAATTTGCAAAACGGTTTTAACTACCATGAGGTCCGATGGATCGGACCAAGATCCAGGGGTGGCTCAAACTACCTAAACGAGATAAGCTTTGACCGTATGAGCCTCATTGATCCTAAGCGTGCCTATACCTTAATCGCTCTTGACTTAAACCTATTTAGCCTGGCAGGAGGGGGCACAATGTGACCACCCGGCCCTGACTTTACAAAAACCCTCAAAATTTCTGGATATCCCCTAAACTTAATCAAGAGACTTAAATTTTATGACATCTGCTTGAAGTCTCTCAATAAAAAGAGATCCAGCAACAACAATTGCCGCTTGATTTTGCGTTGTGTGGTTCCCTGGACACAATTTTTTCATAACAGCCTCTATGCTTATACCGACGAATCATCTTATATAAAATGTAGTAGTGTAGAAATCTATTAGAGGGGAATTTCTCTTATTTCTCTTTCTTTTAGAAAGGTTTCCTCTTGTCCTCTTTCACTTTGTTAACTCAAACAAACAAACAAATTCATCAAATTACCAGCTTTTGCCACAGAGAAGTCAAATTCTTGGAAAGTTGATTGATTCTTTCGATGTCACTACCTTGAAAAGAACCCAGTCGAGGGTTAAATTTGCCCAAATCACGTGCGCCTAGAAGAGAACAACAGCAAAAAGTATCAGTTTCAGTACAGACCTCTCAGTATCACTAATCCCGTTGGCATATCAGCTCTATTAAGAGAGTGCTGACAATTTTTTTCTTGCTATATCGGCTTGTTTCACGCAAAGGCCTGATATCTTCACGGATGTCTCGCGTCCTACCAATTTATCGCGTTCCGCTAAATTGCAGGGTCCCAAAAATAATAAGCTGGAGGCTGAAGTCCAAAGTTGAGAATGAAAAAATATTTTTACCTGTAGGAATGAAGAGATCAGTAAATCTATTATAAATCTATATTAATTCAATTGAATCAATAAGATTTCGTGCAGCGGAACTTCCTGCAAGGAAGGCACGTCATTTTACCAAGAGGGTGTGTTTTGGTTTTTGCACGCAATATTTTTTGCCGTACTGATGCTGCTATTCTGTGTTATCAACCCGAGAAGTGACTGCATAACGTAAATGGGCTCTTTCCCTATGCATCACTCCTAATACTATTCTCTTTCGCGGCATGTACTTACAGTCCCAGTTTTCTTTATTGGGCGGCATATAGAAGACAACTCGGGTATCCTTCTTGCGAGGTTTGTGAAAAGCTGAACCTTTTACAAGGACGACAGGGAGACGCTTGCGTGTGGGTGTTCCTTCCGATTGGAGCTCGAACTTGTTTTCATATATTTTGTTTGTTCGCTTTTGATTTTTGTCAAATGCACGAAATGTTCAACTGCTTGCTTAACAAAATGACGAATTTTTGTAACGGGCCATTTAATTTTGGCCATGGTCAGATATTATAATAACTGTGCTATTCCGAGAACGGGGCATAAGTCTGAGTGTAAATTCTCTCAAAACGGGGCCCAATTTGGAGTCCCGGAAGAATTCACTCAAAACATACCCAAGAACACCCTCCCCCGCGAAATAAATGTCGCCCATATGCTGGAGTATGATAGAATGATAATATTATTTGAATTTCTAGAAGTATTGATTGGTAACATATGCTCCACTTTTAATTTGAAATCGTTCAAGGTATTGCTCATAATGATCATTCTATCTAACAGTACAGGCAACATGACCCGTAACGGATCCTTTCGTTGAGAAAAAGCTGGGCCAAAGCTACTTATGCTTTTTAATACCGTATGGAGGTCAGATTGTGCAAAAGATGTATTAATAAAGTAATCGGAATGCCCATGTTTTGCAACAAAACGTGACCTTGTGGTAGAAATTGATCTTCGGTATTTGTTTATTTAAGTAAGTGATCCGCCATAAAATGATAACACTATAGCTGGCGTTTTGAGCGGCTATACTACAGACCGAATTGAAGATATTTTTATTTATTTAGCCAGTGATTCTTTTCATTTATGCAGGCAGGTATAGTGCAAAACTTGCGTATGCGGCACATGCCTAGGTATTCTGCCAGTTTTTCCCGCCTTTTTTCTGTTTGTAGTGACCTCGCTTCGGACTTCACCCCGGAGTCAGGTAGTTGTTTTTGTTTTTGATAGAAATGAAAGTTTTCGCGGTAAAAAAAAAAATAGATTCATAAAACTCAATGTCATAATGGTATTATAGCAGCATTATACCATAATACCATGTCTGGAGAGAAAAAAGAGGCTGCCAGTTATTAAACCTTCTCTGTAACCCTAACAGTTCCTCGTTCGCTTTCCCTAGTTAAGAGAGAACTACAATCTTCCGATTTCCTCGTTGTTTTGTTAAGTAGCAACTTCCCGAACCGCGTCTTGTCTCATTATAGTGTGTTATAACATGGTGGATGGCATAACACCATTAAGTTTCCGTTATAATTTTTCCATGGTTTATACTACTACATGAAAAATTTCTGCAATTTGATTGCGTTAGAGCAGTGGTATTTCAGCTTAATTGAAATACCCAGTAGTATAAACAAATAATAGCATAATTTGTACGTGTTATTTGGCATAAATACCACTCGTGATATTTCAAAATTGTCTCAAATTTCACTCGTGTAAAGGCTCGTGAAATTACGTATAACGGTTTCGAAATATCACTCGCGGTATTTATGCCAAATATCACTACAATTCATGCTATTACCTATACAAATTTGTTTCGGGAAGTCCGGTCACATGCACTACACCAATTTCCTGTGGAGAAATGTAGCGCGAGTTTTAGCCCACGAGCATAAAAAGATCCCGTCAACTATCCGAGACCGTAGTTATACAAAATCTGAAGAATGTTTTTAGGTCAATTTTTCTCCCTAAAGAAACATTTAAAACTTACAGTGTAACAAACTCAATCGGGACCATCCAAACGTTGATTGGCTAATCAAAAAGGAGTCTTAATTTGGCAGATCGTTAGCCAATCAGAATTAAGAACATGTAAACATTGCAAACGTGGAATAGACTTGTGATCCGGAGCCGGGTTAATTAAGGAGTTACGTCACCAAAGAAAAGGAAGTAGCGATATTTAGTGATTAACCGTATTGAATTACCAAACAAGTTGGGAAACGGGTATACATCCCGTTTTATATCAAACGCAATGTAGAAGCATCAAAGAAACTTTTTACTTAAAAAAGTGGTAGAAAAAAAAATAAAAATAATAAAAATAATGTCCCTGCTAAGACACTGTTTGCAGTAAAAGACCGTATTGCCCAGTGAAGTGGTTCGCGATGAATGTAGACCTTCTTAAAGAGAGAGAAAGATTTTTCCGATAACCTTGAGATGAAATTAACGGAAAGCAAAAGCCTACCCCCTTTCGTTTACGCCTAAATTTACAGTGTAAATACTTCTAAAACCTACCGTTTGTATCCAAAGTAGTAGAAGAGGGCTTTTCGTTGGTCATACCCCCTTTGTAAAATATAAAAACTGTGACCGCCAGAGAGGCAAACGAAAGAATGGTCAGCATTACCAGCCACGCAATAAGGCATGTTAACCTCCGAGATGATTTTCCTGCTGTACTTGACTCAGATAAAACGTCAATGTACATTGGCTCAAGACGCAAGTCCCGTGTGCTTTGCTGCTTAGTTTTGCCCTCCCATAGATTTTTCGTGCTCACTGTTAAGGCAGATACGTTGAGAAATTCGTTTCTTCCGAAATTTAGGGTGGAGTAGAGATTTTCCTGGCTCGTGGAAAGGGCACCTGGAGGCACACATTCGCTGTATTCATTCTCAGATTTTCCTGCGGGCATGTTTATACCAAAGACTCAATTGTGAAACTTTCTGGTCATTTGTTTTGGCTGTTGTCTGTAGTGTTCGGTAGATTGTGCGTAATTACCCCGTTGCTTTTCTGCCCACGCGGTTTGACATCAGACGAAAGGATGTAAATAATACTTGTGGTTTCCGACGGTTTAAGATGATATATTAGAAGCATGAAATTAAACGCTCTTTACCGCATGAAACAACACTCCTAAAAAAGAAAGAGCACTAAAAGGAAGAAAAAGGAGGGGTACAAAACAAACAAACAAACAAACGGAATAAGACAATAAAGACATAAGTATAAACACAGTTGTCCTGAACCATCATGACGGTACTAATTTTAAGACGAGGGCAAAGTCGAGCCGCTAAAACCGGTCAAAGTTCGTTCATAAGTAGCCGGATGTCTAAATTGGCCTGTTTTCTGTTTCATGCACTCGCCTCAACCCAGTTCAGCCTATTATGTGCTTCACTTCATGGAAGTCCTAATGAAGTACCCATTTCGCGATTACTGTTTCCAAGAACGCTGTTTTTTTTTTAATATGTGGTTTTCTCACTCACTAACTGGGCCAAGCAGGAGACATCTTAAGGGCATACCATTTTTTCATGATATTGTTAGAGCCCTAATGGACGCTCTGCTTGTTTTAAGATTAAACATTTCGCCGGAAGGTTTATCCAGGTGGTTCCTACAGCTTAAAAATGTCTTTTTACCCCACACCAGATGAGAAAAAACGATTGAAATGCACATTAAGTTAAGAAATGGAAGTATCGTTATGCAATAAATTACAGTGAAGGTAAAAAGATGAAGCTCCGCTACCCTGTGTAAATTTGTTTTGGCTTGACCGGATACAGTTATTTAAAATTCTTTGATCCTTAAAAAGATAACGTATTTATAACGATAACAACCTTGTGGTTGATCTATTCCCCCAATAAATGCGTTGTAAATCAGATTTAAATCCTCCTTTTCTTTGTTCAACATATGAACGTTAAAGAAAATGTTAGTGACTCTCAGTTTTAAAACTGACAATGATCACATTCTAACTTGAAAGCCTAACAAAACAGGAGTCGGGGAATAATTCACTGTCTGTCCTTAACCCACTCCATCCAGTAGGATCAAACCGCATATTCTCTTCACTGTTTTCATATAAACATTATAGAGCTTATAATGAGAATTTGTTTAACATTAAGACATTGAACCCTTGTTGATCATGGGCGTTATCCTCATGATTTAGTTTGTTTTCTTTATACACAATGTATTTGATGACACAACGAGATTGTAAAGAGGAACCCGATGTTCGTCACTATAAGGCTTACTTAAAACGTGCAGAGTGACTAGAATTAAATGTAGTTTGCAAATACAGCCGTCTCTTCTCGGCGTTCCTCGCCGCTAGAGATGCTAGGGAGCTTTAGCAACGACGACGGCGACGGCAGCGAGGACGTCAAAAAAGCAATAGGTTTATTACGCCAAACAACAAGTTTGCACGTGCTTCACGCTTTTTTGTACATTTCTTTCCCGTCCTTCCACGCCTACGACGTGAAAATGCCTAATTGCAAGTTTTATGCAGGACGTAAACAAGCGACGACGAATCTCTTTTTCTCTCTCTAAACGTGAGTGCGGTCCTCTGGAAATCAACTCCAGGGAAATTGGCCTACACTTGCCATTTTCAGCAAATTGGAATAAACGCGACAAAGTTTGAAAAAACGGGAATTCATGTTAAAACTGACGTTTTCGCTGCCGTTGCCGTCGTAAGTTCCCTGCTGTGACAGTGGGAGAGACGTCAGTAGCTGTGGTTGGAGCAATAAAACCACTGGCAAACCTACAAACTTCAGCCAGCTCGCGTTTTAGATAAGTTTTAACTCCAACTCTTTCCTTTTTCATCTCTAGTCTAACACACTTCAGCAATTTATGCACTGGCTTTTTTTTCCTTTTAACAAGACTGTGACCCTTTTTGTGCCGATTCACATCGGCAGAAACTATACCACTGGATCCTTTAGTAGAATGGCTTTTTTCGTTTGAAAGTGAAATGCTTCTTTCGTTCGCATCTTTTTTCTTGATGAGGAAATAGATCCCTCGCTCTTTATGTTCTTTAGCTTGCCTCATGTCTGCTATATATAGGTCATGGTTAGCCTAAGCTGAATTTAATCAGCGTTTTTAGTTTTCAGGTGACAGTGACTTCTCAGTATTGTGTTGCTAAACGTGCTTAATTAGCCGGTGATAGAAAAATCTTCAGGCCCCCGGCGGGGGCGATTAAACCCTGGTCCAGTGCAGCCTGAACTACAAATCTCTGATTTCCCTCCCATCCATATCTAGTTTTAGACAGGTTCTTTGAGTCAAAGACTGCCCCCTCGCACTCTGTCCCATGCCCTGCTAGCGTTCAAAACCATCATCAAAGGCGTGGCTTTTGCATGTGTGTTTGATTTTGTATCATTTCTCTGTTGATCCATAAGAATATTAATGAATAAACTATTGGGACTCATGGCATTAGATTTTATTTGGAAATTGAAGTGATGATTTCAAGTGATGATTTCAATCCAGGAGGTATCCAAATCACTGTGCCCCATTCTTTCTTGCACCCATTTCTTCCAAGCGCCTGCTACGTACGCAACTTAGCCGAAGTGCTTTGCTTTCGTTTAGAGCGGTTTCACTCACGTGACCATCCGCTATGCAAATTCAACTCCCACAGCGCTGATTTGGAACACCAATATGGCCGCCGTGACGTCATGTGAAAACAATGTATAGAGCACTCTCACTCACGTGGCCAAGAGCTTTGCAAATTTATTGGAACAAAAGAAAGCTTTTACATAAGATAAAGGTTCAACCTCCAGAGGACTGGTTTGTGACACCAACATGGCCGCCGTGTCATTATTTTGGGACAACAACATGGCAGACGTGACGTCACGTGAAAAAGGCTGTATTGTTCAGGAACAGATTCATGTTAAGGTTTCTTTCCATAAATTATTCATGAGAGCTAGCACTAGTAGATTTTATTTTCTATCTCTTGCCACTGCCGAGTAACAAAAATCAAAAGGCACGTCTTCTCCGTCTGATACAAACGGACGTGCAGCAAGAGGGGCTATTTTCGTCCATAAGCAAAGCCCGGAACGTTTGGAATTTTGAGGGCCTAGAAATTCCGTAGTGGCTCAACAGTTATTTCTGTTACCGTCATTTATCCCCACATTCCTTCATTGCTTAATAATAATAATAATAATAATAATAATAATAACAAGAAGAAGAAGAAGAAGAAGAAGAAGAAGTGATGACATAATAAACATAATAAACGATATCATGGCTGTTCTAAAGTAATTACATCCTCCGATAGCACCAAAATAATTTTGAATCGATGATTACACCAAATTACGATCGGTAATACAACTTTTCTTTTACTGTTATAATTCGGGGGTCTTTTTTTGAATGTGTCAGTCGATTCTCTGGGATTACATTGTCTTGTCTTCGTAAACAGTTATTTCGGAGACTCAAGGTCTTTGTTTGGTCGAAATTTAGAGGTTGCCAATTGTCCATTACGACAGACGTAATCCGGGGAACATAGGGCTGAAAAGATATTCATGTTAAATTTGGGCAAACCACAGAATTGGTTGTTGGGTGTAAATTTAAGGCCGGATGATAAAACGTTTGGAAAATGCGCACATTGGCGGCCACAATAATTATAATTTGTCACATGAGCAAAAACCACTTGGCAAACTTTAAAAGGAAATTCCGTCTTACCTACCGCGCTGTTTTTTGCTCTTTTTCGATTAACGCGCATAATTCGGGGAATAAACACTAGGAATCCTTTGTAGGAGAGATTTACCTTGGAGAAATCATACAAAAGAAGAAAAAAGAACAAAACCCTTTCGTCCCAATTGTTCCCCTATAGACAACTATATTTAATAAATCAGATCGGCTGGCTTTTAGACATGAAGGACTTCTGATACTTAGGTATTGGTCTTGAAAGGGATCTTTGCCAAAATAGCAAACATAACTTTCCAGAACTTTCAACTCTAGTGCGGGAATGCACAAAACCTTTCGGAAAAATGTATTTTGGCATGACCTTCAGGCCACCATTTTTGACAAATCGAGTTTTACCATTTTGAAATTTAAATTCATTTAAACTCTAAGTGACGAAACTTCAGGCCACTTTAAGTCACTGGTGGAAGAAGAGGGAAATCAATAGGAATGAGGAGCACAAGGAAGAGGAGGAGGAGGAAAAACAATCTTAATTGAGGTGGAGGAGGAGAGAAAACAATAGAAATGAGGCGGAGGAGGGAAGGAGGGAAAAAATGGAAAGAGAAGGAGGAGAGAAAAAAATAGAAATTTACCATTTCCACATAAACCATAATGCACCTTGTTTATTCCCCCCAAATTTTGCATAAACATCGTCTTCGATTTCTCTTGGGATGACTGTACTACCCAGGGGAAATTTGAAATGATGGTTATGCAAGTTTTTTTCTTGGGGGGGTGGGGGGGGGGGAAACAAGATGCATTATGGTCTATGTGAAAATGGTGAATAAGGAGTAGGAGGCAAAACAACAGAAATGAGGAGAAGGAAAACAATAGAAATGAGGACGAGAAGGAGGAGGAAAACAATGAGAAATGAAGAGGAGGCGGAGGAGGCAAAACAACAGAAATAAGGAGAAGGGAAAACAATAGACATGTGGTGTCGGTGGAGGGAAAATAAAAAAATGACGGAAAAGGGAAATAACTGAATTGTGGAGGAGGAGGAAGGAAAGTAGGTTAGTTAAACGTTGACGTAAGTGCCAGAAAAAAACGCTTTTGCATAATTATGCTACAATTCAGCGATTTTGAGTCACAGCCGGCTTCATAAAAAAAGGTTTTTAAAAAATAAACTTTGACATCGATCTAACATCAGTAAAGCTCAGTGGTTAAACCTCCTCAAAATAGCAGATGACCTTATCTTAATGAGATTTATCCACATTTTATTGATAAAGACAAATGACTATGACGTGATGGATGTTAATGTATTCCACCTCAAATTGCAAAAAATGCGGAGTAAAACATCGCTTCTATACTACTTAAAGTCTTCAAAACATGTTACGCGACGTTGCTCGTTAATTTTTTTCTTTTCCTTAAATGGGAAGGTTCTGCTTCTGGTAGGTAGCTTACCAAACGTAAAACGTACATATTCATGAAAAATTTTGCAACAAAGAAATAGAAATGCTTCAGCGAAAAGCTAGATCATATCTGACTATTTAAGGGTGGTTTTCGCTAGCGACGCAGTCGGAGTCGGGGTCGTAATCAAAAGCGTAGAACTTTACGATCTACTGAAAACACCGTTCTAATTCTTCTGATTCCGCTTACGACTCCGTCGCGTACGATCAAGTGAAGACTGGGTCGTCGGAGTCGAAAACAAAAGCGGAAGGACCAAACCAATCACAAAGCGTGGGAATGTGCAATGTGATTGGTTTATTCCTCCGCTTCTGCTTCCGACTCCGACAAAGACAATCGGGTTTCACAAGATCAGAAGCGGAACGTAAGCGATGGAGTCGTTAGCGGAGTCGGAAGAAATTGGAAGCGTTCGGATTCTTCTACCTCCGATTCCGTCGCGCTTATGATTTCGCTTACGACTCCCATTTTTGATTTTCACTAGGTCATAAGCGCCCTTACGACCCCGCGTACGACTCCTACTCCGACTCCGACTCCGTCGCTAGTGAAAACCAGCCTTTACTTTGCTCAGTTTGATGATATTTTCCCCACAGAAATAGAAATACCCTCTACTACTGCGCTTGAAATCCAACATTTTCCCTTTAAAAATAAGGTAGTATATTATAGGTAAGGCTTTTCTATGATTATATAGGTCAAGAATTAAATTTTCCTTGCTTGGTCAGAACTCATCACAGTGTTCATCTCAACTGAAGTGTTGATCGTACCGTCTTTGGTAGTAATACTTTTTATAAAGTATACTGTTTGTATTGTAAGATAAACCGCTCAAGCTGCAGTGGTAGCAAATACCCTTGTGAGGGGCCGTTTGTTGATTTGGTTCCACTAGTGAGTGGGCGTTAAAGAAAGATTTTAAAGAAAGATTTTTTTGTCTTTGAGGGTAAACTTTAATACCTTTGTGGCTTCAATAGCATTCCCTCCTTTTTAACGAAACAGGAATAGTCTAGAAATGAGAAAAGAGCAAACGGAATTTTCGTACAGGATAGTAGCATACGAGACGGTTTCGGCTAGAGAAAGCGAATGAAAATAATCAGAGAGGTCTTGCTGAAAAATTTCAGCAATTCTAGATTCGTATTCTCGGGGCCCTGTTTCCTCTTTTCGTTACACTAGACATTCCCAGTAGTGAATGTAACAATACATGTTCTGGGCTCCACTTTTAACAGTGTTTTTACAATTGCACCGGTATTCTCTAAAGCCATCCGACGTGACTTTGCTTGTGAGCTCCACAACGGATGCATCATTTGTTCCACAATTCACACCAAGGAATTTCTGACCCTGCAAAGAACAGTAACTAATGAATTGAAATGGTGGAAGTTACTGAATGTTAGGTTCCTAAACGATATATGAGCATTGCTTCTTTTGACATCTTTAAACTAGTTGGTAAAAATGATGGGCACCTGAGCGTTCGTGGTTTACTAAGGTTCTGAGGCCCGGTTCAGACGCCCCTCTACTCATGTGCCGAACCCAACTGATGAATTTAGTACGGCAAAAGAGCGGCGTCTGAATCAAATTTGGTACGGCAGTTTTAGTTCGGTGCGGCGAAAACGTTAAGTCCTACAGAGTCTGTCGAACTTTTGTCGAATTTAACTTGGGCTCGACACACGGTGCGCCGTCTGAGTCAGATGTCGCGCCAGTGTCGCTCCAAAGTCGAACTTATTCAATTAGCCTCGGCACATGAAAAATACGGCGTCTGAACCAAGCCCGAGTCAACGTACCCATTCACAGGAACTTGTTGATAATTAGAAACTTTTGCCTTAACAACAGCAACTAGTGGTCAGTGCATTACTACCGTTGCGCATGCGGATGTTGTTCATGGTTTATGGTTGCGTAGTACCTTGGTGAGCGTTACATTGGTCATCAAACTCAAATGACTCATATTGGGTTTACTGGTTGCCAATTTTAAGTATTTAAAACCAAAGAGGAGCTTGAAAATTACAAGCCGTTTGAGCTTTTTTGTAATTTTTTAGACTTTGATCTCATCCTCAATGTCTTATGCTGGTTCATTTCGCGCAGGACGGATTTTTTTTTAAGTGGAAAGTTTAGCTTTGTTGCTTAAAGATTACGTTATGATAATCTTCTCGATGTCTTCTGCTATTAATGCCCTACCTTTTTCTCAGTTGCCTTGACATTTATTTGAGCTTGAATGCCCGCTGTGAAAGGAGAACTTTCGAATTGCTTGTAAGAACATTGAGACAGATTGCCAGAACCAGGCGGGCTAGGGGATCCTGGTTGCCCGGCAACACCAGGAGGGCCCCGGGTACCATTATATCCCGGGGATCCGGCAGGCCCCATGGGCCCCCTCGGACCTTCAATTTGACTGATGTTCATCAACTAGAGAAAGAAAAGAAGTATGTCATCAGAAAAGACTACTAAATTAGTCTACGTATATTTACTGCCTTGGAAAGTTATAAGGGCATGGTGGTGAGAGCACTTTCCTCCCGCTAATATGGCCTGGATCTGGTTCCCGACGTCGACGCCATATGGTGTTTGAGTTTGATGCTCGTCGTCTTACCTGCTAAGAGAGGTTTTCCATTGGGGGTACTCCGGTTTTCCCTCTTTCCATATTCCAATTCGATATGGAGAGTTTCTTGCGGTTTGCTGGGAACACTTGAAGAGCGAAGGGTTTATCAGGTCTTCGAACACTCTCTCTAAATATCGTTGTTTTTTTTGGTTTTATTTTTGGGCAACAAGAACGTGATTATGATCGTGGCTGATGGAAATCTCTACTGCGCTGAGTCTCTTATTAACGTTTCGTTAATTTCTGTTTAAATTGGAGTTACCTTTTCAATTAGATGGTTCACTTCCTCTCTGTTTGTATGTATTGCCTGCCAAAGTGCTGTTTTATTGAGCTAGTGGGAGAAAACACGTTATGTTTTATCACCGTTTGAGATATAATGGCTAATGACTTACGTTTCTTTTATGATGTAAGTAAATAAATGGCGGTCCAAAGTTCTCTAACTATGACTCTGTTGAAGGCAAGCTAACACCTCTGGTCTCGGGCCTCAAGAACAGTTTTCTGTCACTCATTTGCTTACGACTTTAGAAATGCTGAATTTACCTTTTGAGCAACTTTTCTTCTAAAATCTCATTCTTCTTACACGGATGTCCTCAGGGAATGCTATGTCGATTATTAGTATCTTTAATATTAATATCATCATCATCATTTATTTAATATTTATTAATATTATTTATCTGCTCATTTCAGTCGAACATCTATCAACGGTCATCACTCAGCAACGGCCACTATCTTCTGTTCTATTTCGGGCCGTCGTGGAGGGTTTCAGCTGAGCTGTTTGGACTTGTGGAGCTGAAAACGCCACAAAGGTTTAATGAATGAATCAAAGGCACTGACGCAATTTCTGATGCACCATGAAATTACCTTTTGAGTCACTCTGAGTTGTTTAACATCTTGTCCGGTTGTTTGTATCTCTTGCGATAGTGCTCCTATTTTGTCCTTGGAGAGAAAAATATATGTTACGTGTGAAAGACTAGATGTGAAAGGCAATCTTCTAAATTGTTTTGTTTGACGCAAACACTGTTAGTTCATACGCAGGCAAAACAACCGTACCTACCTTTAAATCACTGGCAATGCGAGAAAGATTTTTCTTCATTTCTTCCGTTTCCGCTACCAGTTTTGTTACTTCCATTGAAACACAAGAAAAACAAAGAAAACAATTTTCTTATTAATCAGAATAAGCGAGTCAAAATAATTTACACGAGCGAGAGGTTAAAATTTGGAAACGAATGGAAACATCGAAAATGGCAACACAGTGGTAACACGAGGATGATATCTCCATCATCTTCTTACAGTAGTTATAAATTGATACGCGCATCCTAGAATTGTCCCCTTTCCCACCCCATGTAATAGAATCCAAGAGTCTTGGGGTGCGTTCCTTTGAGATGATCCGGATCAGGATCAGTGATCCGAGATCAATCGGATAATGGTAGATCAAAATAACCGATGAATCCACTCTGGACAAGGATTCGTCGGTTCATTTGATCTACCATTATCCGAGTGATAGCGGATCACAGATCCTGATCCGGATCATCCCAAAGGAACGCACCCTTGGATTCTGGATTTCACGTGGTGGATTCCGGATTCCAGGTTGTTTGTTTGTGGAACCTGGTTTCCTGATTCCAATCCTTAGCGGTATTCCGGATTCCACAGCCCAGGATCCGGGATTCCACAATCAATTAATTCCTGGATTCTGGAATCCAAATTTCCTTACAGGGGGCGACCTTTCATGTTCAATTTTCCTTCAGTAACTGACTTGTCAACTGCCAAAGTTGTAACATTGGCAGACAAAACCTTTAGGACGAGGTCCTAAGAGATTTTGTTTTCCTGCACTTTCGTTTTTGCTGAGAGCGTGATGGTTTTAGCGTGAACGAGAACGGAGGCTATCGATAACGCGTTAGTATGGACAAGACCCTAATGGGCCCATAAACTGATGAAACTGGTCACTTTGCAAATATGACATGTACTGCATAAGCATTGCTAAGTTTACTGTGTTTCAACTTTAAAGTCAGAATACTGTACATTGGTCTGTAACCTAGTCGGCGAACGCGACGCTAACCGCCGGTCGAAAGCCGGCATAAATTCAGATTTAGGGAATCAGGATATTGCATCTGTATTCACCAGTCTTCTTTAGATCGGTCTAAAGGAACAATTGTCGTCTATTCAAGTGTAGTGCGATTTTAATCCGATTTTAACACCGTTTTATCATTGACATATGATTAATAAATTTAGTGCTTTCTTAAGCTAATTCGTTTGTATATATTTTAAGTTGCCGACAGCTGAATAGGATTGAGCCTTTATCGTGCTTGACTAATCATCTTAAACAAAGAAGTACAGTATACATTTTGGACAGCTTAAACAAATTAAACTCTTTGACATAAATTGATTAATACACGAAGTAATGTAAGAGTGGTCTTGACGTTCCTCTTTTTGTGTAAATATGCACAAGTTCTGTTTCGAACCTATTTATTTTTGAAGCTTATTTTTCAGTTGTTTTCTGTAATTCAAGCACTTGGTCTCTGTACTAGGGCTTGTAAAAATAAATGAGTAAAATAATAAAGTCATAAAGTAAACGTTGTGTTGACCTTTTGCCTCAGGCTATCATTTGAGCCTATTTACTGTGGTTCTTTATCATTTAATACAGACCAATTTCATATAATAGCAAACATTTTTTCAATTTTTTTTTATAGTTAAGTGCGGCATCATTAAGGCAATCAAATAATAATTACAATAACGTTCAATGCGACTTGAAAAGACGTTTCATCACTCTCTGTCTTAAAGGTACATCGCAAGTTTTAAGTTATGTTCAAAGAGCCAAGACAACACACGCACTACTGCCAACTCCACACGCCTTCCCAAGGCTAAGTGGGGATTGGGGAACACGCGGGGACGCGAGCGACTGGAGACGAGGCAGCACGTACTAATGGGTCTTTCAGACTGTTTAATACAAATGTTGCGAAGGTTACTGGTATACACAGTTTAACCCCCGAACAAGGTCGTGAAAGCATTGCGTGAGGACATTTTCATGTACAAACAAACGATTCCCGCTCCTTACGTTGCCGTTACCCGGGCAAAATCAGTTAATTTCACAGATGGCGTCGGCCTTTCTTCGTCTCGGTGACAAAATAGTGCAAAGAATTTAGTAAATTTAACGTTAGCATTATGATGTGGAAAAACTACAACTCCCTTAATGCCATGTCAGTGCACGAGCCCTGCATTACCCGTCCCGAAATGAAATCTTTATTCACTCGACAATGAGGTTTAATCATGGTTTGGATATCCCAGAAAATTTGGTAATCACGTGATCGTACATTGATCGTCCGTCCGCACCACAGGCATACCAATGTAAAATAACTCAATCAACAGGTATGGCAACCCAAATGCAACTCAAGGTTTTGTTTGGAAGGAAATCACAGGGCTGCCTGGACTTTTAGATAGAAAAAACAACAACAAAGTCGTGTCTTTTTCGGCGTTATTTCTTATGTTTACTCTAATGTGGATAAACATGAACACAGGAAACAAAATATTGGATAAGCACATACGACAATTCCTCCATAAAATTAATGTGTAACTAGGAAGTTAGCCTGCGAAAACATCCGTTTCTCCTCGCTCTTCGCCGCTGTGGACCAGGGCGGATAAAGGTTGGGCGGTGAAACGAGCGCTCCGCTCTTCATTTAATGTGTGATGCGGAGTAGGACTGGCACGAGCGCTCTTTCCGCGCTTCCGGTGCGCTTGAAGGCCGGCGAAATTTTCCTTTTTGCAAACCGGAAATCCTGTTTTCTTTCTGTAATTTCAGGCTACAATGTTAAATAGATAAATTTGTTTCATAACAATATCAATAAACAGTTTCATATGTTTGTGTCTGTACGTCTAAAAGTCAAACTTGTTGGTCGTATAATGCCAAAATTTGAGTTTTATTTGAAAGTGTTGAATACCTCCCCCTTCCACTAAATATCACCTAATCATCTTTCACCGTTTCGTTTTCAAAAGCTTAACACTTCTTAACCTCAATTTTTACATATGTTAAAGGGGGATAAATTTCATATAACATAACAAAAAATTAGATTGATATATATTGATATAGTGGCGTTGTACTTCTTCAAACTTTGCTTCTCGGGTGCAACGCGCCATGGCGATTCGCACAATGCGTTGCAAATCCGGCAACCGCATGTAAACAAAATTTATTGAGGTTAGTTGCAAGGTTTTTTCTCCTTTTTTCTCTCTACAACAAAACAAGGTAAACAGTAAAAACTGAGGAAAAACTTATTTTGAAGTTTCGAAGAAACAGAAAGACGTATGAGATGTTTTGTTCAAAATTAAAAAGAAGGATGAAGGTGATTGAAATTACCATAATTTCACCTTGCACGAGCTGCACGCATTTATAAAATACACGTCATCTACTGCTGTCTTTTAGTTTTGCCATGAATGACATGGATGAGATTTTCCTTCGTGTTTTAGACAGTAATTAGTTGTTTTTGTTTTGGAATAACATCGACATTGGTGAGTAGCAGAACGAAAATATAATTCAGTGGTAGAGTTATGGAAGTAATAAAAGAAACCCTTTGAAAGAGATGTTTGTCTACTCCAACTAAACCTCCCGCAAAAAAAGCAACATTTGCCTCTCGGAGACAGCGTACCAGCACAAAGGAACGAGGAAAAAGTGCAAGAAAACAAATCAAGCTGCGATAATTCAGTGACAGCGGCAGTGTCTAATGTACAAACCACATCGCAAACCCTGACCGAAGTCGAAAACAAGCGACATTTCTAAGCAGAGTCCCAGTCCACTGCATCACACCTTTTTGCTCGGACGCGCTCGTTTCACCGCCCAACCTTTATCCGCCCTGCTGTGGACGGATGTTTTTGCCGGCTACTAGGAAGTTTGACGTTTTAGTCGTACAAAACAGCGTTGCAGTCGTGCAAAACAACGGCAAGGGAAAGACAAAAAAGCGTGCTGCACGTGCAAATTTGTTTTTTGGTAATTAGAACAAAAAGTGTGCTGCACGTGCGATTTGTTTTTTTTCTAATTAGATCTATTAGTCTTGAAGCCATTTTCATTGTCGTCCCCGTTTAGCATTACACGATTTAATTTCTTTTGTTTATGAGTATTATTAACCAGAGCTTCGCTTTTAGCCCTGGCTTTATAAAACAGGGTTTTTAATTAAGCTACTGTTTCAAGCCTTTTTTTGTCTTAGTTTAAGTGATGACAGGTTGAGGATTTCAAGCATTCGGTCTTTCATTATTATTTTTTTAAAATACGAATATTGTTCTGTATTAAAACACATTTGTTTAATTTGCTGAAAATGAAGCGGCATCATTAAGACGAACAGATAATTAGACTACCATTAATGAGATCTGAAAATTCAGACGGTCCTTGTAGTCTCCATTCCGATGTATATCGGTGAGACATATCATTAGCGATTTCTCGTTCTGCGATTGGTCAATGTTAGGTCCGAACTGCATGAAATATCGCCTTTTTCACTCATGGTGCTTATGTCTTTACCATATGCCCGTCTCAGGTGACAAAACTTGGGCCGTCTATGCTTTTCGTCAAAGGTGATACAAATTAGTTTAGTATCAGTGACAGAATAAAGTCGTCAAATAATTGCCAAGAGTTGTGCAAAGGCACCTTAACCTTAGTACAGCGTGTGCCAAATAGGTATTATACCTTTGATGTGCAAAAACTTGATTCTTTCTTGCGCTTTTGATAACCCTCACCATATGCTGCTATTGCAGTCCATCTTAAACCCCCGCATGTAATTAACGCCTATCCGGAAGAAACTGGAAGAAAGCTCTCTTACCTTGCACTGAAGAGAAATCTGCTGAAGCAGTACCACCCCGGTGAAACATCAGCACCAACACGGCTAAAATCAAAGTGCAAGCAGCTATCAAAAAGAAAACTGCAACAACAGCGATGATAATACACAACAGTCGCCGCACCACATCTGCATCTGACTGTGGGTGTTTCCTGCTTTGTGTTGATCCTTCTTTCCTTTTGGCCTTTTCATTCTCAAAAGCGGTTTGTTTGACTTCAGGCACCGTGCGGGTACCACTTGCAATATTTTCGTAAACTCTTGCACCAGTTTCGTTTTTAAGTTCCATGTCAAAATAGATGTTCTCTTCCAGAACTTGAACTGTTTCGCGGTTCATCTTCTTAACTGAAAGCGAGGCATTCTATGCGCACGAGAAATTGATCCGCAATTAGTGACCTGTAATATATAATTAACTACAGTAACTTGTCATTCGATGCAGTTAATTACCTGTTTATTTTTTTTATCTAGATAAATGGTTGACGAACTCCCCGAGCACGTAGATCATGACATACCCCACGTTTCCTCTTATCCTCCTTAGACAGGATAGGAAAAATATCATCAAAAGGATTAAATTTAGGGTAAACAAATAATCTGAAGTAACTACCTCTAGTGACGGCTTTGTTTCCTTAGACTGGTAGGGCCTGACAATAGGACTGTTACGATGCAGATGTTGTGGCGTGAACACAGAATGAAACCGAAAACTTTCTAAACTGTACAAAGTTATCAAATGTGACACAGAAATACTGTCACCAGGGACCATAAAATGAGAAATATAAAATATTACATTGAAAACAGGAAGTAAGGTATCGGTACCAACCGCAAGAATTAAAAAACCTGAAAATCACCAAAGTAAAACTTAAAAAAAACGAGCCCACAGACGGCAAAAAGACTCAAACAGGAAGCAGAAAATAGTACTGGGAAACTCAAAATCTCCTACAGAGACATAATATTAAAAAAAGAAGCGACAGAGTACAAAACCCGAAGCAAATGAAAACCAAACTTCAATATTGGAACCGGAAATTATAAAAAAACCCCTCAAAACTCAAAACTTACCACAAGAGCATTGACCACACCCGCAAAGAAAACTTAAAACAGATAATTGCAAACAGAGAAACTTTTGGAGAAATAGGGTACTGAGCAGGTAGAAATGGGCTTGGTCCCGTGTCCAAAACAATGGAGAGAATTAGCAGTGTGGCGGGTTTATCGACAGTGCAAGAGATTACCTTTCTTTGGCTCAGTGTAGCACGGGGTAGCAAGTAGTATTACGTCTTCTAGGGCCCCGGGCTCCCTTGGCCGGGTCTGTTTACAAGTGAACTCATCAAGATACAGTAAACATTAGACCACCACGCTTCAAAAAATAGTTAAAATATGAAAAAAAACCCTATCATTTTTATCATTTCATGAAAGATGTTAACCGTTTAAGTGAGAGAGAATGATGCCTATGATGGATCATCACGCTAAGAGCGCGTGGCAAGAAAAAAATGTGGAGTTTCAGGATTCGATCCCGGCTTAACGTCCCACCAACATCCTCCCAAATAATGAGCGAATACTCCATTCACGGAGCTTTAGGAAAACTCAGAAACAGACCTGGTGAAACCCGTCTCAGTGGAATTTTCTTCACCTTACACAGAGAAACTTTCGCGCGTCTGATAGCTCGTAAACATTTTGATTCCAGCCGGCTATTTCCCTTAGCTTTGTTTGTTTCCCTGGTGGATGCCTGGCGTGACTTTCATATATCCTGCTTAATGTTTTATATTCACTACACACACTATACTTTATTTTCATACACATCATTTTGCCATCTCCGCCCGCAAATAGCAAAAGCTAGACGAGGACGGCGGAGAGGAAAGGTTACAGCAGTCATAACAGATAATATTGTAAAGTAACTAAATAAACTATGTGGATAAATAGAGAATACTTCATGGAAAGTGCTGGCGTACGGTATTTACGCACGAGTTGTTGACGTATCAGAAATCGAACGAGTGAGCGCAGCGAACGAGTAAGATTTCTGATACAAAAACGAGTGCGTAAATACCGTACAAAGCACTTTCCATGTGGTATTGTGTTTATTATATACATACCGAGACATTCATCATTTTGGCGGCCTTTTTATTTTAAATCTTTCAAAAATGCTTATTTGCCGCTACACACTTGCCGCAAAATGACAACGAAAACGAAGCATCAGCTTTTTGGTAAAAAGGTTTGTTAAAAACATAAATGACGGTAAGGATATGAGGTAATCCTAGAACTATAAGTAATGTTAACTGTTTGTTGTCAATGCACAATTGAAAATGAGTGAATTTAAGTAAAATATCCGGTTTCAATATAAGCTTAAGCTTAAATGAAGGCCCGTTTACACGACCGAAAAAATTGGAACGGCTCGGATAAAAAGACGAACGGCTCCGACAAAATTTGACGTGTAAACGGTTCTTGACCCGTTCCAGTTTTATCCGTTCCGTTTCTTAAAAGGTCCATAGGCGGCTATGGACCCCTTTCGGAACGGAACCGATAAAAAACGGTTCCGTACCTACATTTTTGTTTTCTTTTCAACGTGTAAACGCTCGCTCTTTTTTCGGTACCGTTCTTTTACGTTTTTTCTGAGCCTGTGGTGCTCTACGTCAGTTGTTTAGCCTACGTCACAAACGTGTTAGAAAAAGAAACTGGAAAGTATTCTTAGATACTCGAAAGCTAGCATACCATTGATTGTCAGAGTAAGTGCTTTGTGCAAAATCAAACCAAGCGCTTGTTCTTGGCATTTGCCACAAGCTCGTTTCGACTATGAAGTGCGATACAACGGCTTTTAATAGAAGAACCGTAAGCCTTTTTTTTTCTCCTATAAATTCGGTTCATTCTCTCAGAAGCACTTCTTTGAAGAATCGCACGCGCAGTCAAACGTGAATTTCGTGTTCTCTTCTTCAGAAGAAACCAGAAAAGTGCTTGTAAACCTGAATCCATGATTGTCGGAGATACGCACAGTCCAATATATGTGTAAGCGCATATGAACAACTAATCGAAGCAGTTTTATTTAATTATCGTTGGCTCTATCGTTACCTGTCTCGAAGAAAAAAACGTGTAAACAGTCTAGTACCCGTTCCAAGGGGCTCTGAAGTACCGTGCCTTTTTCTGTCGGACACATTACAGAATTTGTACGTGTAAACAGGAGATTTCGTCTGGAACCGGTACTTGTTTCTAACCGAGCCGTTCCTTCTCTTTTAACGTGTAAACGGGCCTTGAAAGACAAAGTAGCTCCGACTAAAAGCACAACAAAAGCTTACGTCTCGTTCTGTTTTTCCCTTTCCGCTGTTGTTTCGCCGGCTCTCTACCGTTTTCTTTATCGACAATGAAACAAACGAAACTATTTCACTCCATTTCCGAAATGTTTTTCACTTTTTTAGCGAGAAAAACTCTTCGAGTAAAACTTTTCTTGTTGAAAGTGTGCGAAGCGGCGCTGCAAGCTGCAATAAAAGGCGGGAATTTTGGCGCGAAACTCACACACCTCTGTGGCCTCTGATTGGACGTATCATTTTTCTCACACGTGAAAAAACATCGTTCGCGATTCTGATTGGACGTATCATTTTTTTCACGAGTGAAAACCATCGTTCGCTCCTCTGATTGGCTAGAACTAATTTGCGTACGAAAATTTACGACATAGCTTTTTGGTGAGTATTTCTCAGTATGTATATAATAAATAAGAATTACAGAAAAACAAGCTAAAGTTACAAAATATATAGTCTTACAGAATGATATTACAAGACAATTTTACTACTAACAGAACCTATCAATGATTAGTGCATTGAATCGAGGATGCAGAATTTGCCATTTTTTGTAGGAGAATAGGCACTTCAACATAATCGTCCTCTGCTTCCGTTATCGAGAGCAAAAAGTCATGAAAATTTTTTTGAAAAGCTCCTTTGGAGAGTTGACGAAATTCGTTAGGAATTGCGTTCCAAAGTTTAGGTCCAAACCTAGAAAAAGAATCTTGATTTAGATTCAGTCTTGAAGTTTGGACATAATAATTTCCAGACGAAGAAAACCTGGCTTCATGCTTGTGCTTTGAATTAGCTTTAGTGAAGAAATCACAGATGTTAGACGGAGCATTCATACTGGAGACGTCAAACATTATGGAAGATACTTTTTCAGCATATAACATTTGTAAGGGTACAATTTTTGAGGAAATAAATAAAGGCACAGCATGGGCTCTAGGTTCAGAAAAATACATCAAACGAAGGACTCGTTTTTGAAGCACGAGAATTTTTTGTAAATGGGTTTTGGCAGCTTGACCCCAAGCCGCCAAACCATATGTCAGATAAGGCAATATCAATGATTGATAAATATTTAAAAGGGTTGTACGTGGGACGAAGTGTCTAAGACGGGCAACAACACCAACAGTTTTGCTTATTTTTAATGCAACATTATTAATTTGAAACTTCCAGCTTAAATTGCTGTCCAATAGGACGCCAATTTTCTCTAAGACGGACTCCTTTGGGAACGACACCGTGTTCGTCGTAGAGAGATGTCCGCGAGTCAACTCAAAGAAGTAAAGAAAGGCAGGAACAAACCCTAAGGGTCGATTACATAAACAAAGTCTCACTTACGCCGCGGTTTAACAAATCTTTAGACCTCTAGATCTCTTCCTTAGTTGGTTATTTCAAGTGCCTTTCTAGTCTATGCTTTATTTTTTAATAAAACTGCTCACGATAAACGGTGTTTCGATGAGAGCGATCGGGCAAACTGAAAATGGCTTAGACGTAGTTTTGTCGTTAAACACTGGCTAAACTCCATTTAAATAACCGACCCTAAGTGTCCGTTTAAGTGAGGTGTCCATCTTAAAGTGGTGTCCGTTTAGAGAGAGTTGACTGTATTTAGAAAATCTGAACTCGACTTTTTATCGTTCATTATCTTGGCTAGTTCTTTGATTCTCAGATCGTTTGGGCAGCACCCTGTTTTAGTTCTTCCTAATTCACACTGGGCATTCCGAGAAGTGAATGTAACAATGAGCTCCACTAGTAGTAACATTTTTACAGTTGCACTGGTATTCTCTGAGGCCATCTGAATTGGCGGTGCTTGTGAGCTCCACAACCTTAACGGATGCATCATTTGTTTCACAGTTCACAGCAAGGAATTTCTGACCCTGCCAAGGAACAAGATGATACTGGTTAAATCGAGTCCCTTTACGAATGCGGTATTTCTCTCTCTGGGTGACGATCATACGCTAGCAGGACAAGACGTAAGGAGGGTGGTAACCATCGAAAGTTATCCTGTACTCAAGGAAAATAAATTATAGTGAAGGTATATTAAGACTGAGTTGAAAGTTGTCTTCTTTTGTTTGCATGTAGCTATTTTGCACTAGTTGTTATTATCTGTTTCACGGGTCAAGTAAAATCACTCTAAAGAACAAGGTATCTCTGAAAAAGTCAGTCTGAGTTTTACTTGAAGGCGTTGCCCAACCAATGACTTTCTAGAAACTCTACCACTGAGCTACAGGCGAGTTGACATGATGAATCAAGTAATAAAACCAGTGGTTAATGTGGCAAACATCCTGCCTTTTGTTAGGACGTACGGACCAGGAATTTGAACAGGTGGCATATTTGCGATGATATAATCGTGATGATGAATTTTAAGGCTGGCGAATTCTTGAGACGAAGATGATGTTTTCTTTTTTTCGGTCAGTAACACAGGTGTCTTGGAAAAAAGGAAATCCGAGTCCTTCAAGGACGCCTCGAACATATGTCTTGCTGGTTACTAGACTAGATGTTTATCAGATGAATCTTGCAAGTCTAATGCCCACGAGTCTCCTTTATATACATACCGAGACATTCATCATTTTGGCGGCCTTTTTATTTTAAATCTTTCAAAAATGCTTATTTGCCGCTACACACTTGCCGCAAAATGACAACGAAAACGAAGCATCAGCTTTTTGGTAAAAAGGTTTGTTAAAAACATAAATGACGGTAAGGATATGAGGTAATCCTAGAACTATAAGTAATGTTAACTGTTTGTTGTCAATGCACAATTGAAAATGAGTGAATTTAAGTAAAATATCCGGTTTCAATATAAGCTTAAGCTTAAATGAAGGCCCGTTTACACGACCGAAAAAATTGGAACGGCTCGGATAAAAAGACGAACGGCTCCGACAAAATTTGACGTGTAAACGGTTCTTGACCCGTTCCAGTTTTATCCGTTCCGTTTCTTAAAAGGTCCATAGGCGGCTATGGACCCCTTTCGGAACGGAACCGATAAAAAACGGTTCCGTACCTACATTTTTGTTTTCTTTTCAACGTGTAAACGCTCGCTCTTTTTTCGGTACCGTTCTTTTACGTTTTTTCTGAGCCTGTGGTGCTCTACGTCAGTTGTTTAGCCTACGTCACAAACGTGTTAGAAAAAGAAACTGGAAAGTATTCTTAGATACTCGAAAGCTAGCATACCATTGATTGTCAGAGTAAGTGCTTTGTGCAAAATCAAACCAAGCGCTTGTTCTTGGCATTTGCCACAAGCTCGTTTCGACTATGAAGTGCGATACAACGGCTTTTAATAGAAGAACCGTAAGCCTTTTTTTTTCTCCTATAAATTCGGTTCATTCTCTCAGAAGCACTTCTTTGAAGAATCGCACGCGCAGTCAAACGTGAATTTCGTGTTCTCTTCTTCAGAAGAAACCAGAAAAGTGCTTGTAAACCTGAATCCATGATTGTCGGAGATACGCACAGTCCAATATATGTGTAAGCGCATATGAACAACTAATCGAAGCAGTTTTATTTAATTATCGTTGGCTCTATCGTTACCTGTCTCGAAGAAAAAAACGTGTAAACAGTCTAGTACCCGTTCCAAGGGGCTCTGAAGTACCGTGCCTTTTTCTGTCGGACACATTACAGAATTTGTACGTGTAAACAGGAGATTTCGTCTGGAACCGGTACTTGTTTCTAACCGAGCCGTTCCTTCTCTTTTAACGTGTAAACGGGCCTTGAAAGACAAAGTAGCTCCGACTAAAAGCACAACAAAAGCTTACGTCTCGTTCTGTTTTTCCCTTTCCGCTGTTGTTTCGCCGGCTCTCTACCGTTTTCTTTATCGACAATGAAACAAACGAAACTATTTCACTCCATTTCCGAAATGTTTTTCACTTTTTTAGCGAGAAAAACTCTTCGAGTAAAACTTTTCTTGTTGAAAGTGTGCGAAGCGGCGCTGCAAGCTGCAATAAAAGGCGGGAATTTTGGCGCGAAACTCACACACCTCTGTGGCCTCTGATTGGACGTATCATTTTTCTCACACGTGAAAAAACATCGTTCGCGATTCTGATTGGACGTATCATTTTTTTCACGAGTGAAAACCATCGTTCGCTCCTCTGATTGGCTAGAACTAATTTGCGTACGAAAATTTACGACATAGCTTTTTGGTGAGTATTTCTCAGTATGTATATAATAAATAAGAATTACAGAAAAACAAGCTAAAGTTACAAAATATATAGTCTTACAGAATGATATTACAAGACAATTTTACTACTAACAGAACCTATCAATGATTAGTGCATTGAATCGAGGATGCAGAATTTGCCATTTTTTGTAGGAGAATAGGCACTTCAACATAATCGTCCTCTGCTTCCGTTATCGAGAGCAAAAAGTCATGAAAATTTTTTTGAAAAGCTCCTTTGGAGAGTTGACGAAATTCGTTAGGAATTGCGTTCCAAAGTTTAGGTCCAAACCTAGAAAAAGAATCTTGATTTAGATTCAGTCTTGAAGTTTGGACATAATAATTTCCAGACGAAGAAAACCTGGCTTCATGCTTGTGCTTTGAATTAGCTTTAGTGAAGAAATCACAGATGTTAGACGGAGCATTCATACTGGAGACGTCAAACATTATGGAAGATACTTTTTCAGCATATAACATTTGTAAGGGTACAATTTTTGAGGAAATAAATAAAGGCACAGCATGGGCTCTAGGTTCAGAAAAATACATCAAACGAAGGACTCGTTTTTGAAGCACGAGAATTTTTTGTAAATGGGTTTTGGCAGCTTGACCCCAAGCCGCCAAACCATATGTCAGATAAGGCAATATCAATGATTGATAAATATTTAAAAGGGTNGTGTTCGTCGTAGAGAGATGTCCGCGAGTCAACTCAAAGAAGTAAAGAAAGGCAGGAACAAACCCTAAGGGTCGATTACATAAACAAAGTCTCACTTACGCCGCGGTTTAACAAATCTTTAGACCTCTAGATCTCTTCCTTAGTTGGTTATTTCAAGTGCCTTTCTAGTCTATGCTTTATTTTTTAATAAAACTGCTCACGATAAACGGTGTTTCGATAAGAGCGTTCGGGCAAACTGAAAATGGCTTAGACGTGGTTTTGTCGTTAAACACTGGCTAAACTCCATTTAAATAACCGACCCTAAGTGTCCGTTTAAATGAGGTGTCCGTTTAGAGAGGGTTAACTGTATTTAGAAAATCTGAACTCGACTTTTTATCGTTTATTATCTTGGCTAGTTGTTTGATTCTCAGATCGTTTGGGCAGCACCCTGTTTAGTTCTTCCTAATTCACACTGGGCATTCCGAGTAGTGAATGTAACAATGGGCTCCACTAGTAGTAACATTTTTACAGTTGCACTGGTATTCTCTGAGGCCATCTGGAGTGGCGGTGCTTGTGAGCTCTACAACCTTAACGGATGCATCATTCGTTCCACAGTTCACACCAAGGAATTTCTGACCCTGCCAAGGAACAAGATGATGCTGGTTAAAGGAGTCCCTTTACGAATGTGGTATTTCTCTTTCTGGGTGATGATCATACGCTAGCAGGACAAGACTTACAGAGGGTAGTCACCATCGAAAATCATCCTGTACTCAACGAAAATAAATTAGTGAAGGTATATAAAGACTGTGTTGACAGGGTGATATAACTTTTTCGGTGTCATATAATACACCAAAATAGAGTGATTCTACTTTACCTGAAAAATAGGTAGTAGAATATTACGCACTATTATCGGCCCTTATTCCATTGTCTTCTTTTGTTTGCGTGTAGCTATTTTGCACTAGTTGTTATTATCTGTTTCACGGGTCAAGTAAAATCACTCTAAAGAACAAGGTATCTCTGAAAAAGTCAGTCTGAATTTTACTTAAAGGCGTTGCCCAACCTATGACTTTCTAGAAACTCTACCACTGAGCTACAGGCGAGTTGACATGATGAATCAAGTAATAAAACCAGTGGTTAATGTGGCAAACATCCTGCCTTTTGTTAGGACGTACGAACCAGGAATTTGAACATGTGGCATGTTTGCGATGATATAATCGTGATGATGAATTTTAAGGCTGGCGAATTCTTGAGACGAGGATGATGTTTTCTTTTTTTTCAGTCAGTAACACAGGTGTCTTGGAAAAAAGGAAATCCGAGTCCTTCAAGGACGCCTCGAACATATGTCTTGCTGGTTACTAGACTAGATGTTTATCAGATGAATCTTGCAAGTCTAATGCCCACGAGTCTCCTAGATCTTTGTGGTGGAGCATTCCTTTGGTTTCAGTTACGGGCACCACCAACGCAAGTTAATCTAAAGATCGTTTCCGACATAAACATTTAGGTTCGTACCTTCTTTTCAGTTGCGTTGACCACTTCCCGAGAAGACGAAGAACTTCTTAGTTGCTTGTAAGAACAAAATGACAGATTCCCTGCTCCAGGAGACCCTGGTGGCCCTGCGATACCAGGAGGTCCTTGGGTACCGTTGTATCCCGGAGTCCCACGAGGTCCGGCAGGCCCGCTGGGGCCTGGTGCTCTACTTGTGTTCATTAACTAAAACGAGGAAATCAATTAAGGCCTCGTTCACACGTATCCAGATAAAATTGAAAACAGCTGCTACAGCACAGCGGATCTTGATCACGAACATGCAAAATATTTAGAGAAGTGTTTGGAGTGGTACCTTGCCTTGGCGGGAATCAATAACCAGCTCTTAGAGCGTGCCAGCTACGTTCGTCTGGTTTTAAAGCACGTGGTATATCCAGAAAAGGTGGATTAAGTCTTTAAGGAAACGGAAACTTCAACCAAAAAAGAAGCTACACACCTCGCATAAGGAGGGAAGATTTCCTGCATGACGCGTCACTGCACAAGGGCTAATTGATGATGATCACTGATGGTGAGTTTAGTACTTAGGTGAGTTTAATGAAAGTAGTGAAAGTAGTAAAATTTTTTAACAATAAAGCCTTGCGTGGAACTATCATTTACCTTTTGATGTAACTGGACAATGTCTTGTATGTTGGCTTCCGTCATTTGGTAAAGCAGCGTTATATTTTCCTAGAACAACAATTAAAAAAATGCTTTTCAATATTTCACGCTTCTTTTTATTGCTTTGTCAGCGTGCATACCAATATTATTGCTCCATTATTTTTTTTTTCGCGTAAGATTTCCATGTAGTAAAATATCGCTGATGTAGTAACAACACTACATTGTATAAAAAATGCCCTTTGCTAGCTAGTCATTCACGTGGTACAAAACCTCCATTGCCTAGTTTCAAATCAAGAGGGGCTGGGTACGAGTCGGTTTATTATGGCATAAACATCACGAGACCCATATAGTAAGAAAAAACACATCGAGGTTATGAAAAATCTGGAGTTTGGTGTCGATCGGGCCAATATTGAACAAGATAGAGCTTTTTAGAATCTTGATTTATGGATTGACGGACTCATCGTCCGGACGTCTATATATCTTGTTCAATAGAGGCCCAATAAACACCAAACGTGAGAATGTTGCCAATTTCAGTGTGCTCTTTCTGACTATTTGGGACTCGTGTTGTTTATCCCATAATAAACCCACTCATACCCAGCCCATCTCGATCTGAAACTAGGCAATGCTGGAGGGCATGCAACAGACGTACTAGGAGAAGACAAACAAAGGGCTCATATCATATAAAATGAAAATTTCCTTTGTTTGTCTTCTTCCAGTGTGTCTCCTACTCTCCAGCATGGCGGTTTTGTGCAACATAAATGACCTATGGCTGGAAAGGGCCCATTAACTGGGAAATTCGTCTAGGAAGAAGGATTACTGACCGACTCAAATACAAAATACAAAAAGCCGATTTCGTGTGTGGATCTGTTCATTAACGTCCATCTAGCAGGTGGATTTCTGTTTGGCAAAAACCATCTTTGGATTTTGCATTTGATTAAGATTACCCTAGTCGAACTCACTGTAAGTTTCCTTTTGCCTGAACAATTACCTCTTGAGCAAGATTTTTCAAGTCCTGTTTCTTTACGTTCGCTTCTTGCTGGATCGCTTTTATATTTACCTAATGAAAGAAAAAGTATAGTTCTGATTCTTTTGTGGTAATGAGAGACCCCTTGTACATCCAGCGTTATAAACTACAACTCAGTAGAAGTGAATTTTGAAAACCGTTAGGCTAACAAGTCTTCGAAAATCATAATTCCAATCCGTGTCAATATCCTTGGCTACGTGTTTCACTCCTCTAAGGACGGAGCACCATAATTTTTTTTTGAAACTGACCCCTTCATTCGCCGATCGACCAACAAGCCAACTGACATACTAACCAACGAAAAGACCAATTTACCATCTAAATTAACAGCTAACTAACGCTAATCTGAGTCGCCTATGAAGGCAGCAAACTCAGTTTACCAATCTATCTAAATACTAATCAACCAGCTAACTAACCTACCAACCAACTTAGCTACGGAAGGGCTGACTAATTCAACAGCTAGCCATGTGTAGCCCACCAAGCAGGCAACGAACGTGCTAAACCAGTCAACTAACCAGTGAGTAAGCCAACGTTATCGTCATGAAGGTAACCTAGGCAACCACAAACCAATCACAAAACCCAGTGCTTTATCAAACAAGCAACCTGCTTATCAACTAACCCATCAACTTTCCCACCGAAAAAGGTGACGGATTCTGATAGATTCAGTCAGCAGAATGTTTCGTTAGCGTACAATTAAAAGAAAGCAAAGCTGACTTTACAGCTACGAGATTATATTTCCTTCCGTTAATATTTCGTCTGGCACGGCCTGACTTCTTCAGGAAATGTGGCTCACTAAGAAGGCCGTTATAATTTAAAAAAGCCAAGAAAAGCTTGTCATTCCCTAAAGACGTCAGGCCGTACCTGAGGAATTATTGAAAGAAAATATTATCTCATAGCTAGCCTGTACAGTCAGCCTTGCTTATTTTTTGTTACCAGTTGTTTTGCAACTTACCTCTGAATCACTGGCGATCTGCGAAAAAGTTTTCTTTATTTCTTCCAGTTCAGCTGAAAGTTTGTTATTCACGAAGAGGATCAAAAATAGAGAAAAAGAACAAGTAATTATGCTGGTGAAATGTTAATTGAAAGCATCCCAGGATGTACCTTCCTTAATGAATGGGAATCAACAGTTGAATTATATGTAAGTATTTTAAATTTAAGAAAGAGATAAAAAATTGGGGCAAACACCTTCCAAACAAGCCTATGTCTAGTCTGGCGCAGATTGTTTTTGCATGCGCTGGCTGAAGATAAAGTGCAAGTTTGACAGTCGGAATATTGCTTAGCCTGCAGAGCAGGCGTTTTTTAACGAAAACGCGGAGGTACATTGATCGTGGCCGCCATCTTGAAAAGCAACGAAAAAGATTTTAAACCCATCTACCTCTCCTTTAAAATCACTTTTTGACTCGTCCCAACTTTCTGGTAGTATTAACGTCCAAGATGGCGGGACAACGTCATTCCTGAAAACAATCCATGGATCGCGCTCCAAAATACGCCTGCTTTGTAGGCTACCTATTGCTCGAAACGGAAATTGATATTGATAAAGTACCTGACCCTAAAAATATTATGAGACGTCAACTTTCTTCGCACTTACAAACTTGTATTCTTAGAATTTTCCTTGTAAATTAGTGTCTTCCTTTGCCGACTGCGATGGCCTTAGAAAAGTTAGTAACTAAAACCGTTGATAAAATGAGTTTTGCCAGTTTCTCCCCATGTTCCTCTTGAAGAATTTAATATGTTTCCCGAGGTTATCTAAAATCAAAAATTCTATATTGTCCATCATTTTTAAAAACTATAAAACTTTCTTGATTGTGAATGTCAAAATATGAAAATTTCTATATTTGCACATTACGCGAAATATGGAAATTTCTTGATTGTTAATGTGAAATGACGAAATTTCTATTTTCTGTATGATGTAACAAAATGGAAATTGTCAAATATCAAAACTTCTGTATTCTGCTTTATGTAAAATACGGAAATTTCTATATTCTTCATAATGAATGACAAATATCAAAATACATATTCTGTATCATGTGAATTATGGAATTATTAAAAAAATTAAAAAAAATAATTGTAATTAATATAAAATATTTTTGATTATGAATGTCAAAATTTCTATATTTTACATGAGTTCAGATATGGAATTGGACAAATATCAAAATGTTTATAGTCCTCATCTTGGCATATATGTTTATTGTTAAATATTGAAAATTTATATATTCCGCAAAATCAAAAATGTGGAAATTCTTCATGATGAATGTCAAATATGGAAATTTTCATATATCCAAATTTCTTTATTCTGCAGTCTTTCAAATATACAAATTTATTGGCTATAAATGTCAGATAGCAAAATTTCTCTTTTCTGTATCATTTATAATCTGAAAATTGTCAAATATCATAAAAAGATTCTGCATCATGAACTATGTAGACATTTTTACCAATATAAATGTCAATATGAATTAAATAATTTTATATTGTGTTTCGTGTGAAATATGGAAAGTTGTTCATCATAAATGTCAAATATCAAAATTGTTTTTTCCAGTGTCATGTCAAAAGTGGAAATCGTCAAATAACAAAATATATATAAGTCAAATACGAAAATTTCTTGATTATAAAATATGGCAAATAACAAAATTTCTATATTTTGCATCAAGCCAAATAAGGAAATTGCCAAATATCGAAATTTCTATATTTTGCATTATGCCAAATATGGAAATTGTCAAATGTCAAAATTTCTAAATGCTGCACCATGGACATGGACATGGGTAGTTGACAATTTCCATATTTGACATGATACAGGTTTCACTGCAGACGACACCGCAAGTAACTGCGACAAACACCAAAAATATAGACCGACAAGGGTCTGTAATAAAATTGTACAAAAGAAATATTCTTCCAAGCTAGAATATATATATATATATATATATATATATCAATGTTTCCTTAGTCATTCCGTGTTTTCACAAATTACAAAAGCTCAATAGTTCCCTTGTTCCATCAAAGCTTTTGTTTCCCTGGTCATGTTCCCTTCCCCCCACCCAAACCTCCGAGAGGCCCTTAATAATCAGTGGGGGTAGATTTGGTATAACAGACTAGAACAGAATGGAATCAAAAAAATGCTACGGTTTTTACATTGTTTGCATCGATCGAGGATGCTTTCCACTTATATGGGGTCAGTGAAATTTTTTTGACTGAGTGCAGTGGGTTTTGTGTTGGACCTGTATATCTGCAACGTTAGTTGTAGAAATTCCGTTATTGGACAAGTGCGCGTGCACTTGCAGGTTTCAATTTAAAAGTTTCAAAGTTTATCATCCTATTCAGCGAGAACAAACCTTCTGGGGTGCTGCGAGGAGCTGTTTTATTTCACAATAAATGATCTTTGTCTTGTTTGTGATAATTATTGAACTAAACAAAAAGTCACTGTCGATTGCTAAAAATGGCCACAGTCAGTCACCTACAAATTGTTGGGGCCACGTTGTGAATCGTGCTTTTAAGCGGAGGTCATGCACAAGCGGAGGTCGGTGTTTTTTTTGAACATCTTGCAAACCAACGGTTGTAATATAATATAGCACTACAGGACTGGGTGTAATTACGTGGCTGGTCGGTTGATAAAATCAGAGTATCTCATATTGCAAAACTCCTCTTTCTAACTTTAGCAAAGTAAATTCGTGTGGCGAAAAGAAGAAATTTTAGGGTAAACAAGATCACCTAACCACCCACTTAGCGACAGCACGCGCCTTGTCAGGAATTATTGCGGCCGCCACGTGTCCTTTCTGAAAGGAAAACCTGAATGCATTGAAATCAGCTACTGGGGCTCCGACAAATGGCCTGGTTCCTAGAAATGGATCTCGGATTAAATTAGTTTTTATTTGATATGGTGCTGTGAAGGCAATCCAGTTTTTATGTGAGGATATATTATTTATTTTAGAGAGCAATACAATTGTAGCCACTCAATCAATAAGGTCTCATATGCGGGTATATTCCTTTGCGAAATTCAGTCACGTAAATCATCGACCCTCTCAACGCGTCTCTCGGATGACTCACGGAGAGTATTCCCTTTCATGGATTTAAAGTTACACACGACTGAATTTGTGATAATGTGATAGAAGACGATGACAAACATATCACAGCGTTCGAGGCAGAGATGTTTATTTACAAAATAACGATCAAAATATAAGACAGCAATAAATGATGATCAACCAAAATCACACACAAATCTCTCGCAATTTCCGATTTGATTTACGGGTCGCGATAAGATTAGGCAGAAATATCCAGTTTTATTTGGAGATCACGAACTTCAAATAATTATACAGTGTAAAAACCCCAAATCACGCATTAGGTAAAGCAAGATTGAGCAATCACTTTCTACATTTTTACGATAAACACGGGAAAAAACTCGACATTTTCTTTCATTTCTGCTCTTGAAACAACTTTTTAAATTAAACTCGAAAGCATGCAGTGCCTTATTTTACTCGTGATCAGATTAAGAAAGATACGCTTCTTAGTTTGGGGACTGAAGATTAAAGGAGTGATGCGACTTTGACTGGTTATACAAAAATTGTAAGGAAAGACAGGTTATTCCCTTTTTTTTTTGCCGAGCAGCTGCCAATGCGGAGAACTTCAAAGACTATGGAAAAAAAAAACGCTTGCAGAGCTTATCCTTAAAACACCAGTGTGACAAATTGTAAAAAAAAAATTAATCAAATTAAATCCATTTTTAATCCTTCACGTGACTAATTGTACACCGCATTCAGCAGTTATCCATTTGTAATATTCATTATATAATCGTATTTAATATTGCTCATCATAAAGACGTATTGTTGTCCTATAACAAATCACCCTTATAAATACTAAGTACAAACAATACCAAGTATATCGAACTTCCGCAGATGTTTGTTGGTGGTTAATTTCGTCATACCTTTCCAACGTCAAACTTCTCCTTAATGACACCTTATATGATGAAAATAATTATAACAATGTCGGCTTATTCTAGAAAGGACCATCTTATTATATCAGTTTGTAGGTAAATGGGTGGATGATTATTTTAAGCGATATCTTTGCCCTATTAACCCTTTTTATTACCTCTTTCTTCATCACGAAATTTTTTTATGCGTTTGGTCAACTTTGAAATATTTCAATTCCAAGGTACAACTTTGGTCAATGAGGTAAAACATCCCTAAGATATCGGCAAATAGGCAATAGGTTTGTGTTTTACACTTACTTCTAATTTTCGTGGTTTCCCTACATGTTCGAGTGGTTTTTTTCTGATTAGAAGTGCAACATTTTTATAGGAAGTGCATTAACAGATAGTAAGTGTATATTATTTGAACTTTTGCCCTGCTATCGTTAACTGTCGATGACTTTTGATACATCGTGGGGTTTTATCAAAACACGGTAGTATTAAGTAACACAGTAAGTCTGAGCTTTTTTTAACACTTCAGGACACATTTTTCATATTGTCACGTTCTTCTTACTTTTGTGGCATCAAAAAATTTTAAAATAACTTAACAATTATTTATTAGGATTGAATATGTTGTAACAGATCATGCAAAAGCTTTTCAGACCCTCTGTTTGCAGTATGTTCGAAAATATCTTACGATCGGGTCATCAATCGTACAAAAAGTATGGTAGTGTAAAATTTATAAAGTTATGATGATCAGTTTTGATACTGTTTCATTTGTTGTTTTGAGTTAGCATGCACGGCAGGCGCAAAGCAGGGGCAAAAGGGGAGGGGGTGAAACAGATTAAAACACAAGTCGCGCCCTATTCTTCTCTCATCATCTGGCTTTTTTCTGGAACCTAATTTACCAACACTGATTTACTGAACAAACCACTTACCTTGTAGTGAGGTAAAATCTGCTGAATCAGACTTAGGAGTGTGAAACATCACCAGTGCAGCTAGCGTTAATGTGGCAGCAGCGATCAGAATTAATACCGCAACAACAGCAACAATTATACACAACAGTCGTCCAACCACGCCCGCGTCTGAATTAGTGCGCGGATAACGTGCTGGTTTTCTTCTCGATGGCCTTAATTTTTCATGATTCCCTTCAAGGGCTAACTGCTTTATCACAGGGACTTCGCTCTCTCGCGCGATCTTCTCATAAAATCTTGTTCCCGATTCGTTCAGCAAGTCTTTGTTAATGTAAACGTTTTCATCTCCGAGGTACACAGTTGTGCCGTTCATTCTTTTAAATGTTTACGGTTCAGTTTGTAGCCTTCGTTCTCTCATGCATGACTGCTCTGGGGAAATTGACCTGCACTGAATGATCGGTTTACTGCTCTGGGCTAATGGGAACATGCCTGTAGGTATTTTACAAAGCGTCGGTCATTTGATGCAAAACTATGCAACAACTCCATTAAAAACATTGTAATACTTTTGTAAATGGGTCATCTGAGTTACAACACAATTATTGTTTGCTTGTTGTGTAGTCTAGAACAATCAATTGCTTCCCTTGAGAAGAAAGACTCAGTATATTTACTCAAATCATCCCTGGGAACTACCGCCAACAGGGTTAAAAAACAAATTTGAAAATAACTTTTTTTTTATGTGCTTGAAGAATTCAAGTTATTTTACCCGCTGATCAAGGTCCGTGCATTTGATTTTACGGGATACATTCCTAAAAATAAATACTGTGGGTAATTTTTTTTGCGTTTCGCCACTTAAACACTGCGTTTTTAACCCCCGTCAAGTGGACGACGGTCGTGTGTGGACCCGGACAACCATCACTGAAGCCAGTCCGTAGAAGCTAATTAAAATTCTTTTACTTCCAGAAGTGGCCAAAGTAAAAAACTGCCGAAATTTCGAAATTTAATTTTGTGAAATACTCAGATAAACTCATGTGAAGATATTGCCAAAGAAGTTTTATTCGTATGACCACACCGCACATAGCTTGCAGCCTCAGACGACTCCACTAGAGGTCCTCGTGTAACAAGTAAATCGCACCGTTTACTGAGAACATGTGTACTTTCGTCCTTGTGGCATGTCCTCATCTATACAGATCAAATATAGGTAGAATGTAGCGAACGGATCTTGCCAGTGTACACTGTCAGCAGCACGTTAGTATTATTATGCCCACCCGTGACACAGTTAAGGACTTATTGCAGGCTTTTACAACCGTAGCTGGTCTGCAGCTAAAATCATGGGTAATCTGGGTAATTTACTAAGAAATGATTTGGTGAGGAGCTAACCTTGCTCACTGAGTGCTTGTTAGCAGCTAGTCTTGGCCCGAAAAATAAGAATGAAGTTAAAATCTCAACACACAGGCGTAAGGCATAGTAAAACTTTATTACAATATAACTGCTGTAAGCTATAAACAGTTTTAAAAAGGAAAATATAAAGTACTGTAGGTATTATGTGAAAACGCGAGGCAGTAACAGTAAACGAAATGGGACACATTTATACAATTGATTTTCACTAAATAATTTCTTCGAATCAAAGTACTTTTTTAAGTACCCTTGTTCATCTAAACTGCTTTGTAAGTCACGTTTTTGAAAATAAAGCGAAACAAAAGAAGAAATGGAGAATCTGGGCATTTCTTGGTGTTACGGACGACGTCAGAATTTTTTTAGGGACATTTTCTCCAATCTTACATCATTTGGGAATTTCACCAATCACAACAGCGAATGCAAATGACTGGTGAGTGAAGTCAGTCTTTGTTTGTGGGAAAATAAAAGGAGTTTTCTAAAACGCACTCGCGGAGCAGTTTAGCTGTCATTGCTTTGTTTATCCTCACTTTTTTTGAAGCTGAGAAAAGTCTAAAACATAGTAATTACATCAAGTACAAAAGCGAATACAATTATTATTGTGGAGAATAGATCACTTAAAACGTTACTGTAGTATACATTTTTCACATAAATATTTTGATTTTGGTCACTGGTGGGCGACACAGTTTCCAACACGAATGTTTGTGGAGACACCTCCAGCGGGTTCTTTAAATGACGCATGCCCGAACTGGTCACAAGTTTTAACAAGTTACTTTTACTACTTACATCTGGTACACATTTTACTTTTTTTTCTCTTAGACGCGTTACACTATGTAGTTAACTGTTGTCACGGTAAGCGACGAACCACAGTCGAATCAGATACGCTTGCTAAAGGAGACTGGCATCCATGGGAGTTGACATTAACCCTTTAAGCCCCAAACTGATCTCTAAACATTTTATTAAGGAATGTGTTTAGAGAGTTTGGTAAAAGATCAAGGCATTTTCTCTTTAGTGATCAGTTTATTAATTCTCATAACCTAGTCTCTTGACAATGTATGGATATCAGCAGGAGAAAATTGATGTTGGTACTTAAAGGGTTAAAATGTTTTCGCAGAGGAGCAAGTCGAAAAAGAAACCTGATGGAGATCATTTATTTCCTCACAATCATTAAGGTTTTAAGTGGAATTGATTTAGTGGCAAAACTGGAGCAATGTGTAAGGTACAAAATAAGGAGATAGATAAAATGTGATTTCTGATGGCCGGTCGCTTACGACACAGTAGTCTGTAAAAGAAAGTGACTGTCTTAGGTTTATTAACCCGCGTCGTATTTTTGTCGTGGTTTTATGAGGGAGAGAGAAGGCGTATTTGGAATAGAACTTAACAGTTTCATCGTCAGAAGTTACTTAAGTTGTTCTCAAACTTAATTCATCATCAAAAGGTAGACTAGAAAACATTAAATGTAAAAGTAGAGAGTCAGTTTCATCAGCATTTCAAAGGCTTGAAGCTTTTCATGTCTTCGTTGATATGTTTGCTGCGCAGTGTGTCCAAGTTCTCTCTATCCAAGTCAGACTGGACATTCCCAGTAGTGAATGTAACAGTACAAGTTCTTGTTGTTGTTAGTGTCTCCGGCATTAAGACTAACAGAACCTTTACAAGAACACTTGTATTGTCTTAAACCATTTGAAAGCGGTGTGCTTGAGAGCTGCACAACGTTTGCATCATTTGTGTCACAGTTCACACCAAGAAATTTATATCCCTAGAGCAAAAAATGAATTAAGGCAAAAGTAAGTTGTAGGTTCTCAACGTCTGTACGAAAATGCACACTAACGGTAGTTTTCTCACGGTGCCCATTTAAATACATGATTTTGCCACGAACTAGAAATATTTTGCAGCTATCCCTTACCCCTCTAAATTTGTTTTGGTCGTTTATCTCTTATCCCAATAGCTGTAGTTAACAATTATTTCTCGAGCCCGAATGGGCTCTGAGTCAATAGCCCATGAGGGCGACAGGAATAATTGTTTTTAGTAAAATCCAACTAGTTGGTCAAAAATATCGAGAATAAAAAACATTTAGCTAGTTAAAGCTACAATAGACTTTAATCCCTTGTTGCCGTCAAAAAGCCCGCGCGTTTCGCTACTTGTGGGCTATAACATATGTGTGAAATAATCTACCTTTACGTTAAATGGGAACCTTAAATATTCAGAATCCTCCTTAAAAATCCCCAAAATTTGAGGATGTTTAGAAAATCCTTTTGCAAACGATACTAATTTAGCAGAGACGCTTCGTTTGTACGTCTTCTTTTGTTCATAGAAACAAGTATAAGAAAAAAATTACAAAACTACAATCGAGAATTGAACGAAGAATGAAATAAACTACCTTTACTTTAAATGGGAACCTTAAATATTCAGAATCCACCTTAAAAATCGCCAAAATGTGATGATGTTTTGTAAACGATACTTGTTTAGATCCCAGACCTCTCCCGTATCTGCACATGCGTAGACGTTAAAATAATCAGACTATAATTGTTGAAATTCCCACCTTTGTTTCTTCCGCGGTGACCGCTATTCGAGAATGCCATCCCGCGGAAAACGGGGAACTTTCCTTTTTCTTGTGAGAACATTGCGTCAGATTGCCGGAACCAGACGGTCCACGTGGCCCTGTATCACCGGGACGGCCCTGGGTGCCATTGTATCCCGGGGGACCCGAGGGACCAGCCGGTCCAACGGCCCCCCTAGGACCTTGACGTTCACTTATGTTCATCACCTACGTACAAAAAACAGTTATGAACACAATGTAAATAAAGAAGCTTATAATGGATTTGAAACCAACGAAAAGATTAATGACTAATCAATTTCTGTAGTTGACCAGGCCTCTTATGAAGGGAATGTTAAAACATACTTTCCGTGAATAGCTTGGACGTAAAGATGACGAAAATTAGGGGGGCCAGAAATACCCTTGTGGGTCACTTAAACTCAACAGTAATAACCAATTGATCAGTTTGTAACAACTAGAGACTAAAGGGCCCGTGCCTCTCTAAAAAAATGCATCAGACAGAGGTACTAACTACAGCCAAGAGAACCCAAGTAAATTAAATGGTAAACTGACTTGCAATTGTGCCTTTTTAGCCTGTTTACGTAAGGATTCCATCAAAGATCTTACCTTTTGACGCAGCTGTTGTATATTTACTCTGTTTGTTTGTACCAGTTGCCACAGCATTGTCATGTTTTTCTGACACGAAGAGAAAAATATCAGTCGTTGTGGGAGGGGGGATTTTTTGGTTGGAATATGTGCTAAAAGACAAGGTTGAATTGCGATTCTGCCACCTTAATTTCTGGTGGAATATTCGCCGAAATTCTCTACCCTATCTAGACTTACTATAAACTAGGAACTCTTATTATTTATTCCACTGATAATTATTTATAAATGCAAAAGTTCAACCTCCATAAAGCGGCCACCCTCGCTCGATGGAGGTTCGTCATAAATTAGAATATTCTTTAGCAGAAACATCATTTTACAGTGTATTTTAAAACAAACACGCGACGGGAGCAGTATTACTGGTCCACAGTTGGTAATTACCTTGTACCTCGCACTTCATTTTCCGGCATGATATTCTTAAGACCAAGCCAAACTAAGTGTATCATCGCTTGGTGGTTGCTTAAGAGAGGTGAAAACAGTGGAAGAACTCTTGTTGGGACGGCCAAAAGTTGGCCTCGGCCGCTTATAAGAGAGGCCGCTTGATGGAGCTATAATTCCTCATTCTGTTCTTCAGTTATTTCGGGACTTTGGATACTGGCCGCTTAATAGAGGTTCAACTGTGGTAACCTTTGGTAGTCGAACAAAACTTCTGATTTTTACTCCTGATTAAAACTCCACCCTTGACATGAACACATACCTATTTTAGGTCACATATGGCACGGTATGCTAGCGAAATGAGTAGCAACTAAAGTCAGTTTTTATGGCCCTGAAGGATTCTACGTCGTAGCAAATGTGCAACTTGAAGTTACCTTTTGATGCAGCTGTTGTATGTTTTTCCTGTTTGCTAGAACCATTTGCCAAAGCGCCGTCATGTTTTCCTAATGTTTTCAAGAAAAAAATTTGAGTTCTTTTAATTTTCACCTTCGGAGATGAATTCTTTTAAAAAATACTGTCAAACTTGTATAAAGATCTATAATGCGAACTCAGTCTATTGAACGGTTACTCTCGCTTCCTCTTCATTCTCATCCTTTAGTTAACAGTCCAACTGTATGAAGTGGTCAGTTAGCCATTTCCTAAGTATTGCGGCCAAATATAAGGTTTGAATGTATTGTATCAGTGTCAGTTTCCCAAGTACCTTTTCAATGATCTGTTTCACACCCTCTCTGTTGGAGCGTATTTCTTGCCAAAGCGCTGTCACATTATACTGATGGAAACAAAAAGAAAATAAGGAGCAGCGTCGTTTTGAACGTCGATGTAACAAAGTACTTTACGCACCCCATTACTAATATGACCAAGGTTCATTAGGTGACTAGACGTACCCAGTTAACCAACAAGTAAAGCCCCTCAAAGTTCACCGCTCAGTTAAACTTTGAAAACGCCAGGCATTATCTAAATTAAATTACTATTTAAATCAAAAGGATCAGAGGATGGTCGGCTACCGGGGATTTACAAAACACAACCTGTAGCAAAGTTTGCTTGCAGCAAAAAAAGAAAATTGTCATTCCCTCATGAAGCGTTCATGAGAGCATATGGCGTCCAAATCTACCTTCATGTGTCTTTGAAATTACCTTTTTATTTAGCTTGGCCACCTCCTCTCTGTTTCTTTCTATGTCTTGGAGAAGCACTTTAATTTTCTCCTTTAGAAAGAAGGAAAAGTTACCAGCTGAAGAATATTAGATTCTTAAAAATAAACTACATATCAGACAGTTATAGTGATAGGACTCTGATAGCCTTATACAGACCAACCAGTTTAGCCCAATAGCAAACTGTCTAGAGTACAAGGCAACCAACTCACTCACCAACGTACAAAAAAAGAATCGCCCAATCATCTGAACAACCAGTCTAATCATCTAACTATCATCAGTGATTTTCAACTTACTCTAGAACGTATAATTGCAATTTTAACTTACCTTTGAATCACTGGCCATGCGAGAAACATTTTTCTTCAGTTCCTCCAATTCAGCTGTTAGCGGCGTGCGGGGAATAACATAACAAGAAAAGGAGAGAGAAAATTTTTTGTTATGATAGGAAGAGGTCAAACATTTCTTCAGTGAATTAAATTAACAAAAAAAAAAAAGCCCGCAAAAGAGCAGGAACACTTTTAACTTAAAGTGTGAAATAACAGACCCTTCCACGCCGGTTTTTCAATTTTTGACATGAACCTGCTGGCGAAATCCATCGACATTCTTATTGGTAAACTTGACAAGTTTGAGAGTGATTTGTTGAAAACTAACGACGATTAATAGTTCTGTAAAGTCACGAAAATTAGTAGACGTTTATATGATGGGAGGCAAGTTTATGCCCTCCATGATTCACTTGAGAAACACCTATAAAATTTCAGGACTCTGTGAAGTTTTATCTTCGCCCGCATCAGAAGTATCACTTTCAAACTTGGCAAGTTTACTAATTTTAAACGCGCTGTTTCCAGTAGTGACGATGAACATTCGCTAACTGGTCCTTATCAAAACAGTAAAAAAAAAAAAAAAAACCTTGGAAGGGTCTGTCCGTCAAACTGAATAAGACCTCTGTCCTTATCAAGTAGACCTTTAGTTGACCTCTCATGCGCTACCGTTTGTAAGGAAGACATAATTGCGCCAGTTGGTGATTAGGAGAAGTTTTTTTTTTACGTTCAGTTAGAAATAGCCGAGGGGTGTATTTAAATGAAATTTAAACTAAGAAACTTCAGATCTTTGACTGTTAATCGATTCCCCATGAATGATCCAAATAGCCCTATGTAGGTATTCCAAGAGAGTCTTGGATTCTGCACTCTACGCTTTGGATTCCGGATTGCAATCCTTAGCGGAATTCCGGATTCGGATTCCTTGCGCTGAATTAAGGATTCCAAAGTCCAGGATTCCAGATTTCACAAGCAAAAATCTAATGGTATTGTGAGTTAAAACTGTACATGGGGCGATTCAAGTCTCTGATTTCTGTACCTTATCCCAGACAAAAAACCCTTTTACTTCCACAGGGAGGGGCACCATAATTTCCCGTTTGACCCTTACATGGAAGTATCGCTTGGCGTCTGGAGAATCCTAACTTGGAGTTTAAAAAAATTAAGCATTAGAAGAAAGGGGAGGCGTAAAACAGAACTTTTGATGGAATGTAATCTTATTAACTAACATTTCCGGCGGACGGAATTTCCGTAATTTTATGAAACGTGACTTCTGATCGTTATATATTTAGCTCCTGATCCTATCCTCCTAAGCCGTCGGTTAGTAAAATCGCACCCATTCAATTGCCATAGGTACGAATTTATTTTTTGTTCTCTCGCGGCAAAATGTTTCACGGTAGGCGGCAGGCTGGCAAAGATTCAAGCGAAGGATGAAATCGCGATCAATAAACCTAGGGTTTTAGTGCGGGTCACCGAAACCGTAAGTTTCTTTTCCAATCAACCTTTGGGCGAAATCTCCGCAATGTTTGGAACTGAAGCGGGAATGTTCAAATGGAACCTGTAGCTGATCAGTTTCCGATCACACCGGTCCGCCAAACGATCTATATGGAACGACACTATCCCCTGAAATTTCCTTGGGATGGATCGCGCTACCGATTGCGAACAGAGTCGAACCGATTTACACTACTTAATTCCTTTTTAAAATCGAATGTTTGGTAACTGACAATAATAACTAAGTGACTTTTCCCATACACAAAATGCTTACTTATCAGCGAGCATGAATTATAATATTTTTTGGTGGTTTTTGCAGGCACATAATTTGAAAAAAGTGATCTAACTTTTTCAAGTTTTAGTCCATGTTCATCTCTTCCATCCGTGGGCAAAGATGCCTAAGTAAAGTCTTGAATAATAAAACTGGACCAAACTTGACCAACTTGAATTTAATTTATGCCAGTTTTAGCCTGCATCGCAGACACTCTCAACCTTCTATTTGGAGCTTCCTATATCACTCAATACAACACGCGATACGTGAGCCGGCTGCAAAGCAGGCTGGCTAAAAAGTTTTAGCTTTTTAAAAGATAGCAATTAGCGTAACATAGCCCTTTACGAACCGACCATTAGAAAGGTTATAGCGGGGGGGGGGGGGGGGGGGGGGAGAAACAAAAAAAAAATTCTGCCCAAGGAAAAATAAAAAAAAAAAAAATTCTACCCCCCCAATTAACCATAAAAAAATTTAAACCCTGGGCTAAAAAAAATTATACAAAGAAATTTAAAAAGAAAAAAAAATCCCGCGGGGCCAAAAATCCCCCCCCCCCCCCCCCGCCCCGCTCCATAACTTCCATTTTGTTTCCACGTGCTCACGTGTACTAAGCTATTATATAACAGCAGGAATATCAGAAAGAAGATGCGGACAGTGTAAAGATAAGAAAAAGAATAAGAATAAAAATATAAAGTATAGAAAAAATAAAAGAGGCGAGAGCAGAGAGAGGGGGGGAGGAGGGGGGGGGGGGGGGGGGGGGGGGGGGGGGGGGGGGGGGGGGGGGGGGCGAAGCACAGAAAAAATTTTCGCGCAAGGGAAAATTAAATGAAAAAAAATTCATGCACGCCAATTAACCCTAAAAAATATTCATACCATGGCTTAAAGAAATTCATACAAGGAATTTGATAACGAAAAAAAATTCCTGCGGCTCGAAAATTCCCCACCCCCCCCCCCGCCCCGCTCCATAACTTCCATTTTGTTTCCACGTGCTCACGTGTACTAAGCTATTATATAACAGCAGGAATAGACATAACGTTTTGTTTACAGGCGTAAATTGTAACATACCCGATACAATATATACAATGGTCGCGGCTAGCTGGAATTCCTCTGAATGATCGATGTGAACAATTTAAAGTTATGTAAGTAACTGTACATGTGAATATACGCACGCCATTACTTTCAACTACAACTTACACTTATTAACTCACGCGAAACAGGTAATAGTATTAAAGCGGCATGACTGTAACAGTTGCTTGTTGTAAACGCGTAGAGAATGCAAGGTAATTTATAATTGAAACTGGCTATTTTCGAACTCCCCAATACACTCTGTTTGCAGAAGTTTTGGTTTTCATATTCTCTTCTGATAGGGAATATACAGTCTTCCCTGGGGCATTTGAAATCAAAACACCGAGTTTATTATGTGAGATTTGAAAAAAACAACTGAAAAAGAGAATGTCGTTTGTGAATTGAATAAGACTGGCAGACTAGAAAAACAAAAGCCAGTGTGAGTCTTTCACGAATGTGCATGAGTAGTTTGTGGCATTGGTTTGTTGCTTTACTGCCAGTTGCGGCGATGGATCTACAACCACCACTCATTCTTGAGTATCAATTATTACCAAATAAAAACAGGGATTAATTTCAACAGACGCTGGCAATTGGCCAGTACACGTTTTGTCAATTAACATTCATTTTTTAAATATTGTCATTGGCCATAATTATACACTAACAATTTTTTGGGGTATCTAGGATTCACTTAATCGTTTTTCCCAGTTTTAAGTCGTAACAAAGTTCAATTAAAGTTAGTGTAATAGATCTTGTATTGTGGGTACACAATGTAATCCATGTGAATTAATTTGGTAGTCATGACTTTGAACTCGCCGAAGATAATTGAGATCTTGGAAGATAAAGTTATTCCTGGGTCGATGCACTTGCAGGGCGGAGAAAACTTTTCAGCTGGAGGGATCAATGAGCTAATGTTATTCACTCACGTCCCTAAATATCAGCCAGGGTCATGGTATGTCAACCTCGAGTTTATACACACAGAGAGTAAACAAAGTTGAAATCGTCCTGCAGAAAGTTAACAAAGTTGATTACCTGGTGGAATAACCTGCTACTACAGGTTTAAAAACCTGTAGTAGCACGAAGCTGCACTTGTAAACGTTATCCCATAAATAAAGTTCACGTTTTACTAGCCACCTGTTACAAGATGTTCAAGTGCTTCCTATTTAAGAACGATAGCATGGATTAAAAAGTTAAAGTAGATAAATAATAAATGTCCTGTTTGCACGTTTAGGGTGTCTCTTACGGAAACCCTGATGGCGATATCAGCCGGGTAAGGTGTCATGAACAGTTTCACCCTTGTTATTTTATCCACGCTAACAGTTTCTCGACACTGAAACGAATCTATTGGTGCATGGAAATATTCATAGCGACGTACTTGCAAGGATCTTTTTGTTATATGTTAAATTGATATTGAAACGTAACACCGGAGGCCTGTGGCCAGAGGTAACGAAGAGAAAATGAACAGTGAATTCATATAAACTTTTCAACTGCGGTTGAAGACGCAGCAGGCGTAGGCGTCAATAGGGAGGAAAGAGGGAGGTGTCTGCAGATGGCTTTTCCTCCTTTCCTCTCTGACCTTTCTTCTACATCTACACCTCAAAACAACTAAGACCTTAAGTCTTTATCCCACGAACCTTTCAAAGAATTCAGACAGAAAAAAGTTCAAAATCTGGCAATTGGACTTACCTTGAACTGAGGCAAAATCTCCTGAGGCGGGTTTAGCCGTGTGAAACATCATCACCAACACTGCTAAAATCAAAGTAGCAGCAGCGATCAGAAAGAAAACAGCAACAACAGCGATGATTATGCACAACAGTCGCTTAACCACCCCTGGATCTGGCTGAGTGTGGCGGTTACGAGTGGCTTGTCTTGGAACCCTTTTCTTCTCATTCCCCTGCTTCTCAAAGGCTGTTTGTTTTATTGCAGGCACTGAACCTTCGCTTACGATATTCTCATAAACACCTGCGCAAGTTTCGCTTTTCACTTCCATATCGAAATAAATGTTTTCTTCGACGCGCACGGTGTTGTTCATCGCTTCAAATGACCAGATCCTGTTCCTGCGTCCTCTCAAGTTCTAGTCTGCTTTCGAAATAATCTGCACCCAGCGACCCCCAATGAAATTCCCTTTATAGGCCCCAAGACACCTCAGTAAGACGAGTTATCATTTAAACGATCCAATCACATGTATTGGGATGTGACCAAGATAATGCGGTTCAATCACCTGTCGTTATTTGATGCTATTCAATGACGGTTAACGCTGGGACGCTCGGATATATGTACCCTAGGATGTCGACCTCGGAGCAAAAATACATGGTCAAGGACACTGAAAACAAGTGTTTGGTACATGTGGCTTTTTTGCAAGGTAATTATTACAGAAAATCTATCAGCACATTTGTAACTTTTTTTCGATCTGCCGTAAAAGTCATTAGCTCTTTTTTCATTGACAGACAAATATCAGGCAAAAATCATCATAAAAACGTATTTTAAGTGACTTTTAATACCGTAACGCAAACGCGATTTTCAATTACTCCAAATCCTTAACGTCTTTGACCAAAGAGGAAGTGGGCTTTGGAATGTTGTTATTCCGGTAAAACTGCTATTTCAAATGTCGTTCTTCTCTACGGTTTCCACATTGACGAAATTGGTTCCACAAACATATTTTGTCGGCGTCGAATCTTCTTTTTCAAGGCTGAGAGTTTAGGTTCCTTCGAATATTAAAAAAGGGTTACGCTATCGCCAGTTTGTACTGCCTTAAGAGGGAAGGGTTGTGAAAAATTACAAACCATGCCCACATTATGTAAGACTCTCTCAAAAGTGCTTTCACGTGGAGAATAGAGTCGATCATTCTCTGACAATAATCAAGTGCACTTCAATTTGCGTTCTCATCTGAAGTATCTTGTTTCCATGATGTTGAAATGCCAAAATTTCAACATGCGGCATTGCACCCTCGAGTGTGTTGAAAAATTTCTTTCAAAGTGTGCTCATTTAATCGTCTAGTCTAGCCTGTTTCAGATTTAGGATAGTGGGGAATGGTGCTTACTTCCCTCTGCACCGTCCCCAATATGTACGTATCTAACTTTCTGGAACAGGCTACCAAAATCGGACCCCATGATAAGAGGATTAAGTCGGCGAACCAGCGCAGTGAGGAGAGAAATTAAACAAACAGCCTCATTTTTTTTTTAACTTGTGTCATTGTTTAATTTGAAGCTTTAAGATGTCAAAGTCACAGCCACATATATTTACGCTTTCGTGTATCCAAGTGTGTTTTTGAAGTACCTTTTTTTCTGGATCAAATAAATGGATTAACTCTTCAGGATTTGTCCGCAGATCTGGCTAAAATACAGTATCAAGATACAAATAGCATTACAGTGGTCCAAAATCGCGGAAAACGAGATTCATATCAAAAGTTTTGTGTAATATCAGTTCGGAATGATGCGAATGCACCTCAAATTGAACTGTTTGCTGAAATGGACTATTGAACCCTTAATAGCTCTTAATCTGAAACATCAATGTTATCTTTTCCTCCTAACACCCACTCGGCACGAAATAACCTTTACCTTTGAGGCAGCTATTACCCCCTTGACTTTGGTAGGAGTAATTTTTCCCTAGTTTATAACTGTTGCAATTCTCAAGCTAAGTGTTGACCTAATTTGGAAGGTGTTTGTCAATATCCCAGCTAGTGGACGTCAATTAACTGATTATCGACACAAGAGGGGAACGAACGACGCTGTTGCCCAGTACAGTAGTACAGCCCCGATACATCACTATAAACAATGCAAATCTGTTCCCAGTTCAAACGGTGGATAGGGCTATCCAATGGATAAACCTCTTTCCAGTGGATAACGTAATTGGTTTGGCAAATTTTTGTTCAGATCGGGTCGATGGCGCCATGTAGCTTTTGAACAACTGACGCCTTTGGAAAATGGCGAAAGATAGCACGCGTTACTCGAAGACAAAGTAGTCAAACAAGTGCCTCAAAACAGCAATTCAACTGCTCCATGAAGAATATCAACTAGAAAAGCCCTTTCATATTCTGAAACTGCTGCGGATGAACAGGCAGAAGTTTAACATAAAAGGAAGCATATTTTATTGAAGCAAATATTTTGAATGAATATTAAAACAATTCCTGGATTCGCCTTTCGTTTGATGTGAAGAATAATTGCAGATTATCCGAGGGTGTTTTGCCCTTGTGGATAACATAATACCCTGCTAATAAAATTGCTAATTGTAGAGTATCAGCCTTAAGTAACACACCTATCAATCAAAGTGCACGGGTCAAAGAGGAGTTTAAGTGCACTTTAAACTCAAGAAAACTTAAAGAGACTTCAAGTACAAATTTCAAGTGTTATACTGGAACTCTGTATTCTATGTTCTACTCTACCTCCTCCTTTTCCAGCAAGTCGACCTTTAATGACTTTTCTTAAGCAAACAGCAAAACTTAAGAGGCCGCCAATTATAAAAAGGCAACTTTGGAATACATGTCACCTGAGCATTAATCGCGTATAAATTTTTGTTTAGACAAAAGAAATTATCAAGTGACTTGGATGGACAAAATTTCAAAAATTTTGAGTGTTTCTTGGTGTTGCGGTTTCTTTTGTGCGGAGTGTGGAGGGGGAATTGTTCAGTTTCATCTGCTCCGGTGGGGGGGGGGGGGGGGGTCCCCCCAAAAAAAACCCAAAGGGGGGGAGGGGCCCCCCAAACGGGTGGTTTTTCCCCCCCCCGGCCCCCTTTTTGGTTTAAAAAAATGGGGAAGACCCACCCTCGAACCCCCGTAAAAACCACCCCCTGTTCGCCCTCTTTCTGCTAGAAAAAAAAAAAAACAAACCAACGACAACCTGTCTCTCGACACTCATACATGAGAGAACACTAAATTACATAAAACGTACGTGTGGGAGGGGGTGGAAAAAAAAACTTTTTTTTCCGCACACCGGGGGCGGGTTTGGAGAACCGGGGCGCCACCCCCCCCCAAAAAGTTCCAGGGGGCCCCCCCCCCCCCCCCCCCTGGGCATTTGGTCTAATTGCTCCGTCCAAAACATCAGAAATACCATAAAATTATTTTTTTTTGCTTGGTGGTCTCCAGGAAAGTGACCAAACTCGGGGTTAAATGCAAGTTGTTGGACGCATACGATTTAGATGAATCATGCTGTCAGTGATGATTTCTGACTCGTCTAGAGACTATGCACTCTCACATCTGCAATACAGCAGAACAATACAGACCAATCACAACTTCCGCATTCTTAATATATCTGTACACAGTCCAGGCGATAGCGAGAAAATTCCCGAGGACGTTTTCATAGACTGAAGGTTTAAGCTTGTTGAATCGAAGAACATAGGAAGAACACTGAATCTGTGCATTTGAGCTGTGCTGTGTGTGACCAGCAGGCACGTACTTCGGTGAAGGACTCCCCCGAAACACCAAGTTACAACTTTTATCCTGGCGCAGGCTGCAGATACCTGAAGGTATATGGAGCACTGCCAGACGATTCATTGCTCAAGGATGTGCCTTACGAAAGGTCACTGCTTTTTCAAAAAATACCTACCTGAAAACCCCTACTGCAAATTCTGCCCTTTCTGAAGGGCAGGTCAAACCAAGCAGATAAACAGGGAAAAGATGACGAACATACGATTTCCAGCTTCGTGGCTAAAATGAATTAACTCACAGACGACTGAGATCATTTGAAGCTTTAAAGCATGGTTTCCAAAACATGTGAGACAAGGGTCTGATTCAATGGGGTGAAACTCTTTCTACTCTTCATGGGAGAATAATTCAAGCCTGCAAGGGGTTTCATGCATTAATCAAGTATGTTCTTGCTCACTGGAATTAAACCTTGCTACCTGCTTTCTAAAAGATGTTTCTCTGAGATGTGTAAACACGTACAGGACGAACCTGTGGGTGGATGGAAAAGAAGCCTCCTCTATCCCCGGCCCCACAAGTTTTTCGCATGCGTTTTCACGACCTCTGCACATTACTATATTGGAGCCTGAAACAGGCTACCTTCCACACTGTGAGAAGGGTTGGTTTGTACGATGTGTTAATACAATGAAGATTGGATGTCCTTCATGACCTTACTTAAAAATCTGTGTATGCTGTTGGACCAGGAGCCTATTACCTTCCTGGGTGGACCAATTCTGCTATCATCAGGCTTCCGTCACAACATCTGTGTACGTCGATGGATATGCCTCAGTAAAGTTGCTGCTCTATGCTATGGGTGCCGAGATGCTAAATGCGGTCAGCAACTTTTGCGATGATGTATCATTTACCCCAGACGTTCAGACCCGGGGCCAAGGCCTAGTAGAGGCCGAGCTCCCATACGAAACTGACGGATAACGTCGTCTCTGTGCAGGTGTGTAAACTGCAGATTTTGGTCTTACTAAAGGTGATAAGGACGGAAAGCCAATATTTCTACCCACACAGGTAGCTTAGGGTTGCGAGTAAAGAAATAATAAAACACATATAACATAACGCTGTATTTAAGATTTGAGGAACTAACTGTACCCGAGACAACATTCGAAATGAAAATCACTATTAGCTTATATGTGGTTTTCTGTGTTTTTGCGGTCTTTTGTAGGGATCGAATATAGCTTGTGCCACCCAGAGATTTCTCTTTTTGTATTTTATTCTAATGTTCTAACGGGAATCCCCGTTTATTTCATCGTGAGGGAGTTTCCCACCACCCACTAGTGCATTCAGGCACTATGGGGTGAGTTCATGTCATCGAAGTCCAAGTATACGCTCCCCAACTTAATTTTTTACCCATTTCTTTCCTTAATTTTCATGTTTCCCTACCTGGCAGTCAACAGGCATCTTTTTTCGCGTTTTTCAGGCGAGCGAGGAAAAGCGTGAGGCAAATAGCGCCAAGCCATCTTCCAAACGATTCGTTGGCATGAAGAAAAAGTAAACAGCTCTTAATGGCCGGCCGTAACTGATAGCTGGTGCTCTCGGTTAATTACCCGCTAGTTAACGCAATGACAACTAAGATGTCAACTCTTTCAATATACATGTAATCGCATTCAAGGGAAACAGGTCAGTCTTTGTTTGGCGGCTTGCATGTGACCAAAAATATGCAGACGGGAAGTTATTTTTACGTAACATAGTTTCATATACCGGAACGTACTGCGGAACTTGTTATGGTTTTTTTATCTCCTTGTTCTGAATAGTGTTGTATCATTCTCCTTAGAGATGGTCCCATACTGTGTCCAATCTGATCCTGAAAAGAATATGGCCGCGCACTGAATTCATGACAAATGCCATGATTACCGCCTATACGTGTATTCTTGACCTTGCGGCGATAATAAATACAGAGTGCTCCGAACACGTGCATCGTGTATTCGCCTTAAGGATCTAGAAAAACTCGTTATGCAACAGAATGATTCAAAGTACCGTAAATCCCGCTTGGAATTTCCTGTTGGTAGCTATATTTTCTGACCGTAAACAAAGGCAAAGAAAACCAATTAGTTTGTTTTGGGGAATGTTTTTTTCACTTTTTCAAACACAAATTCGTCTTGAAAGGACATCACCCATATAATCAGTCTCTGGGTCAGGTGTCAGGGCCGTTAGAAGATTTAAAAATTACCACACTCGTAGTGGTTATTCTGCCTACCTGGCCTATGGCCGGCGGGTTCTAACCCAAGTAATCAACCTCTTTTAAAATTATTCTCCGATTGGCCTTTAATTACTTGACATAAAGTTGTTATATTAAAGTAAACCTCTGTGTGGACTATTGAATATTGGGATAAACACAAACCTTAATTCTGAAAAAGGCTTTATAAACGCCACCAAAACTATTCAAATTATACCAGAAGCATAGTAGGCTATTACGCGATTCGCCTTAGATTAGAAAATGATTGTTATAAGGGTGGTTGCGCGCCCATACATTAACCGCCCACACATTACAACTCCATCGTCGTCTTCTCTTTATCCTGCCATAATATCATCATCATATCGTCATCATAATACGTTTCATTACTTTTACAATCATCATTATTATCATCGTCCTCTTAGTCTTCGTTATCATTTTCATCATTGCCATCGCCGACCTCGCTGTGGACGTCATCGTCATCATCATCATCATCATCATCATCATCATCATCATCATCATCATCATCATCATTATCATCATCATCATCATCATAATCTTCTTCTTCTTTTTCTGTCGCCTCGGTTTTCTTAGTCTTCGTCTTACTCTTCTCTTCTTCCACACCTTCTCATCTTCTCCCCTCTTCTCCCCTCTCCTCTTTTTACTCTCTTCCCACAGGTTGACACTTGTCTGTTCCTAGTCGAAGATTTACTTCAAAGGTCACCTTGCTTAGTGTTGTCCCTTTCTACGAAGCGCACTCCGAGCGACAGTTTTAACGAGGTTCTGCATCAGGGCCAGTCAATAGGGCACATTTTATGCGCTTAGGGGACCAAACGTGCCAGACAAGTGAGTACTGAGTAGTCTTCAGCCCTTTTAATGTCACCGCTGAAATGTCACCATTTCTTAAACTGAGAAGTCCATTTTGTTTTTCTACATTTGTATTTGTAAAACTTTTTTAGACTATGTAAAACATGTGTGTAACAGAGGCAGCTTGTATGGTTCACTGTTCATCAGATTACTGTGTGTTCTACCTTTTAGCTAGCACTCTCTTGATCAGGTGAGGATTTCACTTCTTCTAGATCCTCTTCTAGGTTTGACCACCAGACACGCCTTGAAGAATCAGTCCCGCTCAAAAACATTCTGACCGTTTCTTTAATTAACCAACTCATTTATCCTTTTTTGAAAATTTGATTTTATACTCCTTTGCTCCTTGTTTTGTCTTATTTGCACGGTTTGAATATCGTACAGCCTTCCACAGGATTTCTTGACTTGCTGTATAACTTTTAATTTCAGCAAACTCACTGACCTGACTTTTAACTGACTCGACGTCCCACACGAATACTGCAGTTAAAGTGGCCTTAGAAATCAAATGCGGCAACATTATAATAACAGAACAAACATCGTGTAACGACGCATCTTTATTTTTTCTCTCAAATAAGCTTAAAATGGATGCCTTTTTAAAATGACAATCGTCGTTAAGGTTTGCCTAACCCTTGAGACTTAGATTATTTTATTTTCTGCATTTTCATAGCTCGAAAGCTATGTAAATCTTTTTCCGTCACGGAACGAAATTGCCATTTTTGCTGTTTGTTATCGTGTTTCACGAACATAAATCGAACATCTCCTTTCAGACAATTCTATGAAATGTACACCTTTCTATTATAGACAGTTCTGTAGAGGTCTCTGTATATACAGGCACTTAGCTATATCATTTGATGTCTGTATCGTTAGGAAGGCCTCATTTTATTGCAAATTTTATTGCGCGTTTCACGTGGAACACATTGTATTTAAAAATGACAAGCAAGAAATGCCCACTGTATTCATGGTTCACGTTTGCTTGCTAAAAATATTCTATGTTTAAAAACGAGTAAGAGAGTTTTTTCAAATTGAAAACATGAAGCATATAGATTAATTTTTTAAGACCTAATAAACAGGAGCTACAAGATTATTGAACGGTTTATTATTGTTGGATTCATGCATTACTGGTTGTTTTTAATAATTGCTTATCCCACAAACTAAGGCCGAGGTATAAATTTATACTGCGTTTTCGTTAAGGCGTTTAATATTTTTGAACTTCATTTAAAAACCGCTGGTAACAAACAATGAACGTGGTTTACACTAGAAGTGCGGAACTCCCAGCCATAATTAAGCAGGTCTGATTTTCCCTCCATAACTGTGTATGGTCGATGAAAATTATATCCAAAAACTGGAAAAGACAGCTTCAGAACTAAAATATCTACAAAGTATTGAAGATGTCCACCCACGCCAGCATTCTATACATATCGGCTTACCCTGGGAAAACTGGCTTTTGAGAGTAAAGTGACAAGTTTAGCGTACAGAACGTTTCTTGATGTTTCAGGTAGGACACTCCCAGTAGTGAAGGTAACACTGCATGGTAACGGCTCCAGGCTTTACACTATATTTACATTGACATATATACATTTTGACACCCTGGTAAACGCGAGTAGAAAGTTGACGAACTGCTGCGTCATTTGAATCACAGTAGACGCCAAGTATTTTCGTACCCTGTAAAATCAAACATTTTAAGTATTAAAGTGCCCTTGTAACAAAGGGATACAGCTATTTCAAAAAACGTTGTCGGAAGAAAAGAAAAAGGCTTCAAGCCAAGACCGCAAGGTAATGTGGGTTGTTTCAAATCCGTCTTTTTGCTGGTATATCACTCCACTAAACTGATCGCTGATTCATTTGAACCATACTTCTCATTTTAGTTTTTAAAAAAGCACAAGGTAACGTTACGTTTCAGTCGAAGTTCACTCTTGCTTATTCCCATCTTTGAAAGCAATTTTCAGTCAGCTAATTCGCAAGGAAAAATGACATTAAATTTTACATTTTATCAATTTGCATAACGTAGTAACGAAGTCGGCGTAAAAAAACATTATAAAAAAACTTTTTTCCGAATAATGGTTCCTCACTCAAGAATTAACTAAAGCTCGCCAAAGTCTACTGCAGCTAATATTTTGCACTACACCAGCATGTGAGAATGTATGGACAACCACATCGCCTTCATTCCACCTCGGTCATTTTTTTAAACGATAGCGATTTCTCTGGAAATGAATTCTAAAGGACTAGTTTTAAGTTAAAAAAAAAAGAAAAAAAAAAAAAAAAAGAAATTTGTGTAAAAAAAAAAAGAAAAGAAATTTGTGGTCCGCTGTTCACTTCCTCTATGAAACATGAGACATTTCAAGCCGTAGTCGGGCAATAACGGCCACGGACAAAAAAGGGTGATACACGTGCAAATTAAGTTGTTGTTTTGTTAATTCAAACCTATATGTTGTTCACGGTCTCTTTTGTCGCCATTGTATTTTCTTAAGCTCCCTAATGTTTGAAGGCCCTCCAACCCCCTCTGTTTTAAGAGTTGTCCAACGTTTGGCACTCTCACTTACAGAACGACGTTCCATACTCTTCTCAGGGACATACTTGAGTGGCCGCAAAACTCCTATGGGACCTGAAGCAGGTCATTATAAAAATCCCATATTACCTTTCGGTCTTTGCTTAGAGGCTTTTTGCTTTTACTCCGACAACGTTTTTTGAAATAGCTGTATGTTGAAATGCCTCAATCACATCAGTTATAATTCATAGCCAGTTACAAAAACATACAGTCTGTACACCGAAAGATAAACTCACTGAGTCTGTTAATGGTGCCGCCCATATTGCATCGACCTCTGAGGACATGGGACAGCATCAGCAGTTAAGAAAATCATAAGTACCGCCAGATCAGTATTGATACATATCACAGTAGCCTGTGTCAAGTTAATTATATATTAGATTTTCAACCCCTGAAAGACTTTTTAGGCCCGGTTCAGAAGCCGCTCCACTCACGTGCCGAACCTAACTGATGGATTAAGTACGGGAAAAGAGCGGCGTCTGAATCAATTTGGTACGGCAGTTTTAGTTTGGTGCGGCAAAAGCATTAAGTTCGACAGAGTCGGTCGAACTTTTGTCGAACTTAATTTTGACGCGCCAGTGTCGCTCCAAAGTCGAACTTATTCAATTAGTTTCGGCATATGAAAAGTGCGGCGTCTGAACCAGGCCTTAAATGAATAACTGGAGGCGTACCTTTGCTTCCGAGACTATCACGTCTGAGTAAGCAACATGTCCGGCCGATACTGGAGTGGCGGCTTTTTTATTGTAAGAACAACGTGAAAGGTTACCAGACCCTGACGATCCAGGAGATCCTGAGGGCCCTGCAACACCGGGAGGACCCTGGGTACCATTGTATCCCGGAGGTCCGGCAGGGCCAACAGGCCCAACAGGCCCCTGTGGACTTAAAGTCTTATTCTGAAAATAAAAAGTTTAATATTAACTTTTCCTAAAGAATTTTAAAAAAATGCTGGCGCTTGTTTCGAGTGGACAGGACAATTGACATGAGGTGCAACAGATGTTGATTAGTATACGAAACGTCAAGTTTATTTAAAAATGTAAAAGCTCACAGTGTTTATCACCGCTGATTGTGTTTTATTTCTGATTTTAATCATCGTAGTTTAAAAACACGAAAAGTCTCTATGAGGTGCAACAGACCAGCCAAATTATCATAAGGTATAAATGATCGCCCCATACACGGTAATCTGTATTCCGGAATTCGGGAAATTTTGGAATCCAGAATCTTGGGCCTTAAAATCCGGAATCCAGCTTATGGATTCCGGTCCGGAATTCCACTCCGTAATGATTGGAATCCGGAATCCAATATCAACTGACCAGTGATCGGAAATCCAGTACCTGGAATATGAAATCCACATCGTGGAATTCAGAATCGAAGATTCCACTGGATTACTTAACATGAGGTCCACATGAAAACCCTAATTAATGCGCCTTTGAAGCCTCGTATGTGTTTCTACGTCTGCGCGCGGATGACACTTCTCTTTTATGTTCATAAGTTCGTTTAGGAGCCCATAAGCGGGAGCGAGCAACCGTCGCGGCGTTTTCGCGGACCAGCTTATTTTTAGAACGGCTTTGGCGCGAATTTGGAATTCCAAAAACCAGACAGCAAGACCTACAGACCTAAAAATGATATTTTTTGCCTTTTATTAGCGTTTAGTTTTCCTTTTTGATATCTTATGCTTCGAATGCGCTCATAGGCATAGTGTAGATTCTATTTTCGCGGGAAAAAGTGCCCTAAAATGTGTCTAAAAATAAACTGGTCCGTAAAAAGGCCGTGACATAGGCCTTGTATGGGAGTTGCTCGCCTGGGTTATGGGCTCCTGATTCATTGTAGCACCTACCTCTGACGCGACAATGTGTGATATATTTTTCTTATTTCCTTGGAGTTGAGCTGCAAAAAAGGAAACTCGTTTATGTTACAGTCGTGCAATTCTAGAAGCCCTATTGCTTCTTGAACCTAAAAAAATTTGCTATGAAGACAAATCTCTCTACTTTCGAAAGGAAGTTTAATTCAGAGCATTTAGTCCCCAGAGGCAATTATTCGTAACAAGCCTTTGACTTTGTAAATAGGACTTGTACCAACTTCAAAAAGGAACCACGAGGCGCCTCATGTTTCCTTTTGGATCTAAGGAAATAGCTTCTTCAAACCTTTAAAGAGAAAATGGAAGAAAAAGAAGAAAGAAATGGACCTAATACGTTTATGTATTTGAATTGGTGTGTGTATACACATAATTAAATGGAAGAAAGAAAGAAGAAATATAATCAATTACACTAAAAAGTGACTAAAAACTCGTGACTAAGAACCTGGTCAGGCTAAAACTTTCAAGTTAGACCCCTCTATAGAAGAACCTGTTTAGCCTAAAAATTAAAACAGGTTCTATAAAATTCTGTTCAGTTGGGCAAATAAGATAAGTCGGCAACATTCAGGATCCTCCTAGGAGACATATATGCCTTTTTACTCCATGGTATACTTAAGAATTTGTTCATGCTTAGCGTGCGTATATCGAGTTATGGATGGGGTGTCTGTAAAACGCGGACCGGATATCTGCGGATGGCGGATGCGGATGGGAAAATGCGGATAGAAAAATGCGGATGGAAAAAAAATGCGGATAACAAAAAAGGTAAGAAGAAAAAAAAACGAGAAATGCGGATAAAACAAACAAACAATTAAGGAAATAAATCTTTCTTTCAAGTAGCTGTCACATGGTTGGACCCATCACTTACATAAAGAACGTGATGCCAATAGTTGACACAGTTATTTTGTACCCTGAAATTCCTTTCATTAATGTCACAGAAATAAGAACGCTCCGTTCCTCCTCCCCCTCCTTAAATGCACGCATGCTTGGTGCACTTCTCCTTTGAGTGTTTAGCTTAGGGCTTGCAGGCAAGGTAAACAGCTCGAAAAATCGGCTAGCATAGGTTCGCTTATTTTGCACTGACCCCCGTTTAATATTCTTCCCTTTACCAAATAAGGAGCCAGTGGTCCCTGCAACCACGGGTCA